GGATTCAGCCGTGTCCCAGGGGCGTGACTGCCCAACAGGTTGAGCGACCGTTGGCCACACCCAGAAAAAAAAATGACCTAAAATGTCAAAAAATTGCCTAGAACTTAGGTAAAATTGGCCTAAAACTGGAGCTAAGTCCTTGAATGGCCTAAAATTTAGAATACCATGACCTAAAATGTTAGGCCATTAAAGGCCTAAAATGGGGGTAATTTTTGGCCTAGATTTTAGGTAATTGGCTGCCTTAAAATATGAGAAAACCCCTATCCAAAATTTTAGGCCTTCTTTGGCCTAAAAATATGTACTGAAAAATTTATAATATTATAAAGTAAATACAGAAAAGTTTATAGCTAACTCGAGGTCAATGTCGGGCATAGTCTTCAAGAAGTCGTCATTATGCCAACACACAAAAAGGAGCGAGGAGGCTTCACAGTTCAGCAGTAAAATCGCTGTCTTATTCAACGATCGAAGTGGGTTACCATGCAAGCCGCGCTATAACTGGTTGGGAATTATAGCGTCGCCAAAACGGTATCAGAGTTCCGTGCAAATTTATTTAGGTAAAAGGCATTAATTTTAAGGCCCAGGCTGACCTAAAATATTAGGCTATACGGGACCTAAATAGTAGGGCAAATATACCAAAAATTTAAATTTTTAGGCAGTACATGACCTAAAAAGGAACTTTTAGTCCATTTAAAATGTTTTAGGCTATGCATGACCTAAAATGTTGTCCATCATTTTTCTGGGTGCATTTACCGAGGAAATTCAATCAATTTCCCCGCCAAGACCAAAAGTTATTGCACACACCGAAAATTGGCGGCCAGCCGCAAGTGCTGCTCGAATTTCCACAGAATTTCAACCGATCTGGAAGTAGGCTAGCCGGCTGGACAGTGAGCCACTAAAGTGGGACGCCTGGCCAGGAAAGTGGTGTGTTCATGTGGTCACAGAAAACCGCTAGTCGATCTGTCCATAAGCCGTTTGGCTCCTCCGATCGCAGCTCCCAAATCAACCACACCAAAAGCCAACTGCGTCCGCCCAGGCCACTTCAGACAACCAGTGTACAGTGAAAAAAAGGTTAATCAGTAATAAAAGATATTCCGCCGTATGGGTTTTCATGATATGGTTCTATAGTAATTGTGTATATTCATAGACTTCGCATTTTTGGTGTAAAACTCTAGGCCAGTTGTTGCACATAGTTACATTTTTTTAATAAGAGTACATTTCTGCGGAACTGAAGAAACATATAAACGCAGTATTTTTATTTATTTCAAAATTTGGAAGTTATTCCCGGGTTTTTCTCCGTGTGACTGCCTAAGTGGCCCCCGGTTGGAGTCATAACAATTTCTCAATCTGAAGCAAGCCGCCTTGCAGCCCAGTAGAAACGGCTGCTGCGCTTTCTTTTGGAAAATGTGGTCTAGGCCAGTTGACTCCTCCAACGGTGTTGACAACGCCAGACACGGGCTACTCGGCTACCCATCTACCAATATCACCGCTTTGGTTTTGGCATAGACTTTGAAGTTGGCCAATTCAATCGGAGGAAGTTTGAATTGTTTTGAGGAGGATCTTTCAATAACACTTTAAAAAATATTGCCCTTCGTTATTAGAAGTTCATTCACAGAGAAAAAAAACTAAGAACATTGCACTCAAATCAAGAACATTCGTTCTTAAAAACCGGGTAAGCACAAATGTTCTCATTTCGAGTTGAATGTTCTCAACATCAGAACGAAATGGTGTTAGCTAATAATCCGACATTGAGTTCATTTCGTTCTTTTTTCAAGTTGATTTTGTCCTTAATTCAAGTACATTTTTAAATCAAATGGATACAAAAATAAGTTCATTTGTTATATTTTTAGAACATTTGGCTCTCAATTCTATAGCATTTTGAATTTAATTTTAGCTAAAGATAAGAGTCATTTAGGATCAAAAGTAATTTATATGTAATATTAAGGTAGTTGTCCAATTACCTTTTCCAAAAGTAACTTCATCCTACACCTTATAAAGGTGCGGAAGTTTATTAAAGGCTTAAGCCAGAAAAAAGTCTTTAAGTCTCAATATCTGACTTGGCGTTGGTTTATGAAGGGCTAGACCCAGTTGGGAATTATAAATAAGACGAAAAGGGCAAATCTAATGGTAAGGTCGTATTGGAGCAAAGAAAAATGGCCTAATGCGTGCTAGGTGTCAAACGAAAACATCCTAACGCTTTCTAGGAAATCCATAAAAAGTAGAGAATAGAGTTTTGAATCACTTTAAGTTAAAATGCAACTTAATTTTTGTTCATTCTTTAGTCCTTTTCGTTCTCAAACTGAGAACGTTTTGAGGGATTGTGGTTTTTGAGAACAAAATCGATTTGATTTAAGAACCCTGTGCTAAAATAATAACATTTCGTTCTTATTTCAAGAACATTCTAAGCTCAACTAGATTTTAAGAACCAATTTAACTTAATTCAAGCACATTTAGAACATTTTGAACTTAAAAAAGGCATTTATATTTTTAAGAACATTTTCAACTCAGATGAGAACGTCAGAATTCTCTCTGTGTATAGCTATAGCTTAAAAATTAAATAAAAGTATTTTCTTCTAAAATGCATTTTCGACCCAAAAATTTTGTATGTATGTTTTAACCAGGGACCGTAATCATTACAAGTGAAACAAGGACGGAAGCTAACTTCGGCAAGCCGAAGTTTTAATACCCTTGCAGATTTCACGAATGAAAACTTGACTAGAATAGCAACATGAATTAATAAACAACAAAATATTCTATAATTGAAAAATAAAAATTTAAAATTTTTCACCCTATTGTTCCTATGGGAGCTATATGATATAGACGTCTGATCGGCACGCGCTTTTACCCTGACCAGGGTAACGTAAAATTTTGACCGATTTCACCCTATTGTTCCTATGGGAGCTATAAGATATAGACGTCCGATCGGCACGCGCTTTTACCCTGATCAAGCTATGCGTAAAAAAAGCTCTTACACTGATCAAAATATCTTCATTTTGTGAAAGCTATATCCGATTGTTCTTATGGGAGCTATAGGATATCGGGTCGGCTTTCAAACTTGATCTGCGTACACATGTTTTAGGACGACTGTGAAAGTTTTAAGTCGCTAGCTTTTAAACTGAGCTTGCAAACGGTATTGAAACAGACGGACATGGCTATATCGACTCCCCTATTGATCCTGATCAATAATATATATACTTTGTGGGGTCGGAAACGTCTCCTTCACTGCGTTACAAACTTCTGACCAAAATAAAAATCTCCAATTAATGATTATTATGTAAGCGAAAATAAATATGGGCACTTCCAAAAAAAAGTCCTCCAAGCCAAAAACCTTGAAACTTGAATAAAACATATTTCCACATGATTTTGCCCCGATATTAGTTTCTAATTAGTTGAATACTGAGCTTAACTACAAATTTGGAGTATAGTTTGATTATTTTTATGACAAACCCCACCAATATACGCAAAAATCAGTTTTTGGCTATTTTTTTGTTATTTTTGAGACCTGTCTTCTGTTGTAAATTTATCCTATAGGAATGCTAATATGTGACATTTTTCTGTACTGAATGCTTCATTCACATGCTAAACTATTAAGTTAAAAGCAAAACATCCAGCAATTGAGAGGTAGAGGTAAAGAAATCCGCTTTACAAAACAGTCGGAAAAAATGTGACGAGCGACATGTACCGAGCGAATGTGGTTAAAACTGCATAAAAAAAAAAACGGCAAAGAATTTTTGAGTAAAACCAAAAGCATTTCACAGCGACATGTTTGAACAACATTCTAAAAAAAATCGCATTCAAATATTCCATCAGACTTCGCTAATTTCTGGTTTTGTATGAACTTCCCCGAAATCCACTTCTATTTTTGTCCCGAGCGAATACGGCAGTTTTTTACCGATATCTTAAAAACTAAAAGTGGTACAAAATTAAGATTTTTACCAAAAATAGAGCTTGGGAAGAGTGAAAAGAAAAGCCCATAATTAAAATTAAAATCCATTGTTTTACAATTTTTTTTCAACTTGAAAGGTGTGCAAATGTCCCGAGGGACATTTTGGAAGTGCCCATATCGCTCAGAAATAATGATTATTATTTGAGCGATATTATTTCGCTTAAAAATACGGACAGAGAGAACGACGGACATGGCTAGATCGACTCGGCTAGTGATCCTGATCAAGAATATATATACTTTATGGGGTCGGAAACGCTTCCTTCTAGCTGTTACATCAGTGGCGGATCCAGGATTTATTTGTGGGGGGTGATATCAGAACATTTTTTTGTTGCATAAAAAATGTCTTTCATATTACCCCCATGGATCCGCTCATGTGTTACATATTTTTGCACGAATACAATACACCCTTTTACTCTACGAGTAACGGGTATAAATACGAAGTTTGCTTTTTTTTGTACTTTAATATTTTGCAACGATTTTTATAAAAAGTTCGTTAACAATTTTTGAAACCCAATTAAAAACTCGAATTACTTTTGCAAATATTTCTATGGGAGCCATAAGATAAACATAGTGGTCTGATCCATCACGATTACTTTTAAAAAGGGTATAGCTCGCGTAGAATCGGGCAGATGAACCGACAGACATGGTTAGATTGACAGGATGTGTATATAATATATAAGTTGTTGGTTTTACAGCAGTTCAATGGATGTTTGCGAAACTAAACTATCAACAAAGGTGATCTGTAGGTAGTGGGGTCTTGTGCTTATGATGTTTTTTTGCCATTTTCCCGAGCTCTATGGCAACCCTCGCTCAGAAAAAACAAAACCAAAAAACACGCCAGTCCACTTTTCCTCAGTTTCTCGCCTTGGCATTTCATTGCCTTAATTAAAAGCTGCATTTTATTTGTATCAACTTCAGTGTCAGTAAAAGCAGAGCAAGTGCAGAATTTGGAGAAGCATTTTGTAGTGAAATTTTTGCCATTAATTGAAAACGGCTTCGCTCCTCGCCCGGCGGCCACTATGGTTTCCTTCCTTCCGCAGCTCAAAATTAATTGGTATTCGTTTTAAATTTTGTTTTATTTACAATTAGCGTAATAAATATTCTTATAGGAATGCAACAAGGCCGGGGCCGAATAAATAACAACGTGGCGACGGTCGAAGTCCTCGAAGTTAGCTCTTCTGGGGCTGTTGCTCGGCGGCAATGTCCTTGCCGGAGTTGCGTCCGTAGTATCCATTGTAGGCCGCCTCCTGGGGATCCCCGAAGCTGACGGAGTTGCCGGCGACCTGCTGACCCTGGACCTGCTGACCCTGGAAGCTCTTGCTGTAGTAGTCGGTGTAGGGCTTGGCGAAGCTAGGCTCCTGGCGGTAGTAGGGTCCTGGAGCGCCTCCGTGGCCGCCCTCGAAATGCTCGTGGTGGTGGTAATAGGTGGCGGCACCCACTCCCTGGGGATTGTATTCAGGGAAGGTGTTCTTGCTGCCGAACAGGCTGGACAGCCCGCCGCCGAAGGCCCCTCCGACGCCACCTGGTGGGCGGCACAGCTTGAAGTAGGCGAATAGACCGGGCAGGACAATAGCAGCCAGACCAAGGATCTTCTTGAGGCCAGCAATGCCCAGGATGAAGGGCAGGAACAGCAGCAGCTTCAGCTTGAAGATCTTCAGCACGAGCAGCAGGGGAATGATCATCTTCTTAAGCTTCTTGCGCGCTGCAAATGGGAATATAAATTTATTTGTTATTGTTGTTCAATAAATTTAAAGAAAACTTTAAATGTACAATTGCATAGAACAGATATGTTGTGAATAATATGAATATCAGAATAATTTCCTGCTCATTTGCATTTTCTCGTAACATTTTTCGACATTTAAGTTTCCCTCTTCAACGGAAAATAAGTAATCATTTTTAGACTTACAGAAATGTCCAGCACGCTGTCCATCATCAATAAGGTCCAGTTCGCCATCAATGTCGTTTCCGATGAAACGGGCCTCATAACGACCGGCTTCAGTGAGTTCCTCGGGCCACTCGACCTCCAGAGCCGTGGACTTGATGAAGCTGCACAAAGGAGCAGAAAACGTGTCAAAGAATGGCCATTTACATTTTCATAAAAATCTCATATTTTATGCAAAAGCCCGGCCAACTTCGCGGACCCAAATTAATTTGCATCCGGCACGGGCCGCAGTCATTTGGCTAATTGTGACAGCTTACCGTTCGGCCCTTCGCAGTCCATATTTCAGAAGCTGATTCCACGAGTCATCGTCTCCACGTGGCTCCTCGGAGTACTCAAAGGGCTCCTGCAGCAAGGACCTCTGTTGGGTTTCCGGCAATCGCACCACGCGCGCAAAGTCGGAGAGCCTGGAAATTAAGGGATTGCTTGATTAATTTCCTTCTCAAGTGGAATGTGTCTTTAAGATATGAATAAACAAACAATTTCGCTATGGATGGATGTATTTGAGCATTTGTTATTAAAAGAAGGGCCATCCCTTTCATGCGTGCTAGTAAATTTGCATTTTATCGGGGGCAGTTGAGGGAAACGATCTATCAGTCAGAACCTTTAAGAACTTCAATACTGCTGCTTACTTGTACTGGTCCTTGAAGAAGATCTCGTCGAAGGTGTTGAGGGCCTGGGTCTTGAAGCACTCGGAGAGGTCGCCGCCGAGGCAGTTGGTGTTGGTCCTGGCAAGGTAGGGATCGTTGTCGTTGCCCAGCCCGAAGATGCTCAGCAGGGAGGAGCGTCCCCGCTCCTCGCCAACTCCTGGCTGCGGTTGCTGTGGGATCTGCTGGGGCTGCTGGATTTGCTGGATGGGGGGCTGCGGCGCATAGACCTGCTGGATGTTGTTGGACGACTGCTGGTCCGGAAGCCGTAGACCTTCGCCGGCCACCAAAGTGATGCAGGCCACTATGACGAGCGCTCTCATTGCCATGGCTGTAAGAGGGAGAAGATGAAATGGCTTGAAACACGGCCACTGGCACAGTTTTCGTTCGACTTGCTGAAGTTTTCTCTCAATCACCCGATTATTCCAGCCTCTTCAGCGCTGTCACGCTATGTCAAAAAAGCGCTTGTGTATAAAGCTACTTTTTTGGCAACTGCTTATTGGCTTAACGGATTGGCTCTCCACTTAAAACTGACACACTTTTCAGATGGCTCTGAGGCCCCATTGGCACACTGTGCAATTAGCCGCTCACACGTAATAACTCTCGCTTTCAAACCAACTTAGACCACAGCTTACCACTCTTTGCTCTTCAATGTTTACTGTTAACTTGGGTTTGCTCAAATTTCTCGAGGAGAGCTTTCTGCACCCAAAAATACGGATAAACGCACAAAAGAAGTTGGACTTGAAGTGAAATGTGAAATGCAGGCGGACCGGTTTGCCGGCTTAACCCTTTGGCGGCAATGGGGCGGCAAATGCTCGTAATTGAATCTCGTGCTAAAGCGCATAAACAGCGGGCCTAATGTGCTTTAAAAAGGTCGGCCGAGTCCGGTCAGCCAGAAATGCAATAAAGCGTGCTTAATTCGAAGTATAGACAGTGGGTCGAATAGTAAAACTGAGTGGTCATGTAGGATCTCAATAAAAATATTTTAGATTTGTTTTCGTTTCATTCATTGAATTAATATAATTTAGCGGACTTTAAAACAAATTTGTTGTTTAATACTTTTTGAATACCACATTTACTTGGGGGTGATTAAGTCCCCAAAAATGTAGGCAAAAGTCTGAATGACAAAATTGCCACTAAAAAAATTGGAAAATAAAAGGCCAAACTAAAAGTGGTTTATGTTTTATAAGGAGATTTCCAGTTCGTATATGGCTTTATGGACACTGTATTATGATGGGCGCCAAACGAAAGCGCACGCGAAAAGTTCGTTATGCTCGAGGGATTTTTTCGGCCAGTCGCTCTTACTTTCGTTAGGCTCCTATTTGGGCCAAACCCAGATTGGGACTCATCAGCAAGACGATTGTGTGGCAATCCGCTTGTGGTTTGAGCAAAATTTAAAGATTCCACCATCTTTACAAAAGTTCAATGTCCAGGCGAAAAGTTTTTGGTGCGCCAAATGGTATGCAGCGAAAGTCTATGGCGACTGATTTCAGCGCCCGGAAGCAGACTCTCAATTCGGAATATTATATAAAAATTATACAACAAAGTTATAGAAAGCATTTTGAACTTGATACGCCCCGAATCCCTTTCATATTATTTTTTAAGGGAGCTAAATATAACAAATAAATAAATGAATATCTACGTGATCCTGTGTTTTTTTCTGGGTAGTGGCCGAAGATTTATTGATTTCTGAATCAATTAATGATTCATAGCGAATATTTTGCCAAGTCAATGGTCTTCGCTTGGGATGTCGAAAGGGAAAACCAATTTTGGTCACTGTGTCGTATTTGTTTTGCTCTTTGTTTTGCTTTTTCATTTGCATTCGCCAACGAAGGTCAATGAAATGTGGACTGGTGATGGTCGATATTACGAAATTACAGTGGCGATAAATGGAAATGATGGCTTTATCGGGTTGAAAGATACGGAAATTTATGAGCGCCCTTGAACCGCTCCCATGTTTGTATACATTTGGGGGAAAAATAAATGGGTAATATAAAAAAATAATGTTAACAATAACTATACTGACTTACTGTGAAATTTAGCAAGAGCTCTTTTTGTAATATTTTAGAATTAAATATTTTTAAAAAGTAGATTTGATGATTTTAATTGTGCATTATAAAAAACATCTAAATTATACAAGTAGTCGGCTATTAAATATTTTTCTGTATAGGATGAAAATGATCTTAGTTGTTTACGTAAAGAGTTCCACAAAATAGTTTTATTAAAATACTGAGAAGCATTCCAGTGAGTACTTTTAAATTTTTCGGAAATATTGATTTTGCAACCATTTATGTCGCAATAAGTGCTCTTGGCCACAACTGAATGATCGTTTAAATTGGCAATATTAGCGTTTCCCACATCCATTTCACTTGGTTATTACACAATTTCTCGCAGTTCATTTCACTTCACTTCACTTGATTGTACATTATTTTCTGTTTGGTTTTTTCCGCTGTTTACCTTTTGCTGTTTCCTATAAACGCCTGAGGTGGTTTTTGGTTTTGTGTATCCTTAACGCTTTTTCCAAGCGACCCTGTCTTTCTGCTGGCCAAAAGCGACTGTGCCGTGGCTGCTGGCCGGCAAAGATTTTATATGAAACGCGAGAAGTGGCGAGAGGAGGAGTCGTCAGCTGAACGCTCGACAAGTCAACATGGAGACAATGGCCCAGACGCTGTCGTCGCTTTTGGCCCACAACGACGATGGCTAAGAGGCAGATCTCAACACGCTCGCACTTGCGGTAGGTTGTGGATACGATCGATCCACCGAACCGATCGGGTTTACTTTTGGCTCCGTGGGTGAGAGACAACGACCTGTGCCTGTGCCTATGATTGCTTTTCGCGTCCGGCTGGGCTGAGCATTCGCGTGCCTTGAGAAAATCCCAAAATTATTGTGGCGCACGTCGAGGCCTTGGCTTTAATTTGAGTTTGATTTAAAGAGACAACAAACTGCTGAAGTGACTCATTTCGGGAAAACGTACGTCACAGCCACCAGGGGATTATGTAATTTTTGGCCTCTTGCCTCACAGACCATTATTACTTTTACTGCAAACTGGTTTTTGGAACCGCCCACGTTTAAAGTCAGGGCGAAATGTGAACAAACCTGCATCTGGTTTTTGCATTCTCTGCAATTTCCTGTGGTGGCCGTTGTGGGGCAACTGGGGAAATTCCCCCAGCTGGCTGCCACAAAAATCAAAACAACAGGCAGCATTACTGCGGGCTTTCCCGTTGCCAACCTCGCACGATTTCCCGATTTTCGCCGGTCAGCAGAGGCACGAACTGCCAACGAGGCCGCAAACAGAAGCCCGCCGGCGAAAATTGTTTCCGTCAGATCGAGGGGCGTGGCCGGGGGCGGTCCTGCGGTCGAGGACGCTTCTGTTGTGCCGGACATGTGCCCCTGCCGCGTAATTGAATCATCTACTTGGGCAGTCCTCTGAGGGATTTAGCCAGTGGGCAAATTCATCAAATGCAAATAGAATGAATTTACGTAAATCACTCGCCAGGGAGAAAACCAGAAACAGAAGAGCTAAATCAACTATGTGCAAGCACTTGCATTTCCCAAAAAAAAGTATATACACAACCAATTAACGGAATGTTACCTTAAAAAAATACACCGAGTAAATAAATCACAGAAATAATAGTTCACATAAGTAGACTTTTTCATCCGATTTCATCCATTTTTTTAAAGCCATACAAAATTCCTACACATAGAAAAATTATGAACGAATAAAGAACGAACGTTCTTTAAAGAATATCGAATCGTACTTGGAATTGTTTAAAACAATCGTTCTTGAAATAACAACTAGTCGTCCTAAAATATAAAAATTACAGGGACACAAAATAGCTGTTATATTACGTTTTTATATCCGTTACTCGTAGAGTAAAAGTATGTAACAGGGAGAAGGAAGCATTTCCGACCCAATAAAGTATATATATTCTTGATCAGGGTCACTAGCCGAGTCAATCTAGCCATGTCCACGCTAAGATATTGGAAGCTACAAAAGCTAGAAATTGGGGATTACCCACACATATTCTTGGGCTTCCTAGGCAGCGCAAGTTTATTTCAGCCCACACACGATTTAAGGTGCCATCAAAACAATTGATGGCCCCGACTATCAGATACCCGTCACTCAGCTTAAGGGAGTGCGAGGGAGATGGAGATATACAACTTTGAACGCGCATAACTTTTGTACGAATGGTCCGATTTGAAAAATTTCTACATCTACATTTCGATAGGTTTCGATAAACACAATAAAACTGCATTTTTACTTTTCCAAAGGACATGGCTAGATCGACTCGGCTAATGATCCTAATCAAGAATATATATACCCTGCAAGCATTTTCTATCCCGGAATTCACTATTTAGTGACGTCGAGAAGATGAAAACGATTGTCCGCGATATCGCATTCGGATCGCCAAAGTCACCCCCGTCGGGAAGAATTGTTCCACTACGGCGACACTTCCCCAAGTCACTTCTAGAAGTGTCGCGGAAGTCACTTCCACATTTCTTCCCGACGGGGTGACTTCGGCGATCCGAATGCGATATCGTGCAAGTCACTTGTAGAAGTGTCGCCGAAGTCACTTCTGGAAGTTACTCAGAAGACACTTGTAGAAGATACCTAGAAGACCCTTTCCCAATTGGAAAATATGTTTTTTGTGCTCATTCTTCATGTTTATTCTTTCAACACATTTATTGAAATATATAGTTACAAAAGCATTGCGGCATGTAAGCACGGTCCATAAGCTTGTAGGAAATGGTGTTGTATTATTTTATTTAATTCCAGTTCCGTGTTCCGTCTATGAAAATGCTTAAAACAACAAAAAAATAATTAATATTGTGCCATATAAAAATCGGAGGAGGTATTTACCTTTTATAATTAAATAAGTGGAGTATAGTTAAGTTTTCGGTTTGCCCAGAGTTTCACGCGAAGTAATTCCTTTTGCTTTCACACGACAGCCTTGTACACGCTTAAATCTCGATTTCTCCAATCACTTTAATTTTTGATGTAAATAAATATTGTATTTTTTTATATTTTACCGGTACGTAATATTTAAAAAATAACGTGTTCACTCCGCTTTTTATCACAAACACAGAAATTCAGAATAAATCGAACTGATCACAAAGAAATCTCAAAACGAACTGACGCTCGAATTCAAAATACATAGTGCTTAGGACAAAGAGAAAAAAGGGTAGTTTTCAGGTATAAAGAGAGAGCCAAGAGCGGACTGTACCCCAAAAACTTCAAAAAAATAAAACAAAATTCCTTTCTATCTTCAATTTAACTTCCAGAAGTGAATTGGAAGATGTTTTTTTCCCATTGGTTTTGTTTTTGTAAAATGTGTTCTATCGCCTTTTCATCGCCCAAAAGAGTCTCAGAAGTTACTTCTTCGCGATCGCAAGCCTTTTTAGGTAGTCAAATGTGATCTATCACCATTCTATCGTCCAGAAGTGCCTCAGAAATTACTTCTTTGCGATTTTAACCCTTTTTAGGTAGTCAAATGTGTTCTATCGCCATTATATCGCCCAGAAGTGCCTCAGAAGTTACTTCCTCGCGATTTAAACCCTTTTTGTTTTTGTAAAATGTGTTCTATCGTCTTTCTATCGCCTAGAAGTGTCTTAGAAGTTACTTCTCCACGATCGTGACCCTTTTTGTTTTTGTAAAATGGGTTCTATCGTATTTTAATCGTCCAGAAGTGACTAAGAAGTGACTTCTTCGCAATAGATGTATATTTTGTTTTTGTAAAATGTCTTCTGTCGTGTTTCTATCTTCCAGAAGTTACGTAGAAGTGACTTCTGGACGATAGGCGATAGAAATTTCGCCTGTTTGCTTGAAGTAACTTCTAAGACACTTCTAGGCGATAGAAAGACGATAGAACACATTTTACAAAAACAAAACCAATGGGAAAAAAACATCTTCCAATTCACTTCTGGAAGTTAAATTGAAGATAGAAAGGAATTTGGTTTTATTTTTTTGAAGTCTTTGGGGTACAGTCCGCTCTTGGCTCTCTCTTTATACCTGAAAACTACCCTTTTTATACCCGTTACTCGTAGAGTAAAAGGCTATATTAGATTCGTGCAAAAGTATGAAACAGCTAGAAGGAAGCGTTTCCGACCCCATAAAGTATATATATTCTTGATCAGGGGCACTAGCCGAGTCGATCTAGCCATGTCCGTCTGTCCGTCTGTCCGTCTGTATGAACGCTGAGATCTCAGAAACTACAAAAGCTAGAAGGTTGAGATTTCCCACACATGTTCTTTGGCTTCCTACGCAGCGCAAGTTTATTTTAGCCGAGCGCCACGCCCCCTCTAACGCCCACAATCGCCTACTAACGATTTTAAAATGGGTCCTGCGCCCACATCTTTAAAGATTTCCGAGAAGTATAAATGCAATTTTGTTGTGTATATTTATACCTATCAAAATGTAGAAGACATTTTTCAAATCGGACCATTCATTAAATAGTTATACGCAATCAAAATTTATATATCTATCTCCCTCGCACTCCCTTTAGCTGAGTGACGGGTATTAGATAGTCGGGACACCAACCCGACTTTGTATTTTGAATTCGAGCGTCAGTTCGTTTCGAGATTTCTTTGTGATCAGTGCGATTTATTCTAAATTTCTGTGTTTGTGATGAAATGCGGAGTGAACCCGTTATTTTTTAAATATTACATACCGGTGGAATATTAATAAAATACAATATTTATTTACATCAAAAATTAAAGTGAGTGGAGAAATCGAGATTTAAGCGTGTACAAGGCTGTCCTCCGAAAGCAAAAGGAATTACTTCGCGTGAAACTCTGGGAAAACCGAAAACTTAACTATACTCCACTTATTTAATTATAAAAGGTAAATACCTACTCCGATTTTTATATGGCACAATATTAATTATTTTTTTGTTGTTTTAAGCATTTGCATAGACGGAACACGGAACTGGAATTAAATAAAATAATACAACACCATTTCCTACAAGCTTTTGGACCGTGCTTACATGCCGCAATGCTTTTGTAACTATATATTTCAATAAATGTGTTGAAAGAATAAACATGAAGAATGAGCACAAAAAACATATTTTCCAATTGGGAAAGGGTCTTCTAGGTATCTTCTACAAGTGTCTTCTGAGTAACTTCCAGAAGTGACTTCGGCGACACTTCTACAAGTGACTAGCACGATATCGCATTCGGATCGCCGAAGTCACCCCGTCGGGAAGAAATGTTCCACTACGGCGGCACTTCTAGAAGCGTCGCCGAAGTCACTTCTGGAAGTGACTTCCGCGACACTTCTAGGAGAAGTGACTTCGGGAAGTGTCGCCGTAGTGGAACAGTTCTTCCCGACGGGGGTGACTTCGGCGATCCGAATGCGATATCGCGGACGATCGTTTTCATCTTCTAGACGTCAAGAAACTATATGCCTAAAACCACGTTTGACCCTCCGCATTTGCAAGGGAAAAATACTGGTATTTCGTTTTACTTTTGAGTAAAATATCAATTTTAAATTCTCCCCTTTGGTAAAAATTTTTTGTTCTCTTTAAAGCATTTTTTTAATACTGTTATTTTGTAAATTAGTAACGGCTACTATGATATTTTTCTCAAAAATAAAGTGAAATACCAGTATTTTTCTTTTGCAAATGCGGAGGGTCAAACGTGGTTTTACACTCATAGAAATTTTTACCTAAATACTAGAAAAGTCGCCCTAAAACCGCGGTCGCCCTAAAACTACGAACAATTTTCTTATTATACGGGTGGCTAGCCCTAAATATACGAAAAATCGCCATGGAAAATATTTTTTAGGGTTAGTTTTTCCAAAAAGGCCAATTTGCCCTGTTTTTTAGGGCGAAATTTTATGACGCAATAAATGGATACATACATGTAAAACATGTTATTTACATGTGTGTGTAGTTGACAGGTCACGACAAGTGAGTAAGAATGGGTAGCCCAGCGGTCTAAGCACTCGCACTTTCAGCTTTGCTGTTTGAAAATACAGGTCGTGGGTTCGATTCCTGTGTGAGTCAACACTTTTTTTTTTTTTATTAGAGTTTTTATTACTAATTAAGTTTTTTCGTTCGCATGTTAAATTTAAAGTAGTTTTAAAACCCTAAATACATATGGAAATTCTGAGTTTAAGAACTAATTTATGCTAAGCATGCGAAGAAACGGCCCTAAGTATCCCAGCCAGCAAAAAATTCAAGTTTTTGTACGAATAACTTAGACCGCAAGAAAGTAAGATGTGTACAGTGTTTGTACGTTGCTTAGCGCGATGGGACTGTGGTGCAGCGCTAGAGCGTTAGACTCCAACTCGAGAGGCCGTGGTTTCGAACCCTCGTAGAGACCCCAAATGTTTTTCTCAAGTAAGTTGTTTTTTCTCCTTATATATATCTCCTTAATTCGATTACAAAGATGATTTTTCAGTTATAACCGGCAGTTATACAAGTCTGCCGCCTCCTGCCCCCAATGGCATCAGCCGATATAGCAACAATTCAACAAATAAATTATCTGAAACGATGTTCGTGTGTGTGTGTGTATGTGTTGAGTCCAGTTCCCAGGAAAATATCACACCCCCCCCCACCGAAAAATTAATAGATTTTTTTGCTTTTATTTGGTTTTATTTTTATGGCGATTCGCCCTAGATTTGTTGCCTAGTCGCCATTGACCCCCGTTTTAGGGCGATTTTCCCTGTTTTTAGGGCGATTTTACCGGAAAATTTCTATGAGTGTAGGCATATAGTTTCTTGGCCAATATGTCTTAGAATGGTCCATTGGTTATGTTCCGCCCAAACGATTTATATCTTTTTTCGCGTCCATACAAATGTTCCAAAGTCAAGGCTACTGAGATATTTTTCATCAAAAAACCAGTATTGTTCTCTTGCAAATGCGGAGGGTTAATCGTGGTTTCCAAGGCATAGTTTCTTTGGCAATGTTGCTTAGAATAGTCTATAGAATACGTTCCCCCCCTACGAATCGACCCACCCTAATATACAGGTATTCTCACACAGCTGAGTATCATTTGAACTCGAACGCCTATTAAGCACAGAACTATGTTATAACTATGATGCATTTTAAAGTTTATCGACTTTCTTAAAAAAAAGATTACCACGCCAACCAAATTCCAAATTCAATGACGTTATTTTTAGTATTATTCACAAAAAAAACGTTCCTTAATGTTTTTCTATTATGAAACTTGATACCAAAAGTATTGTCTAATAAAAAAAAAATATTTTACAATTAAACCTTTGATTAGGTTAACGAATCCAAAATCCAAAGAATCTGTAGTATGGAAATACAAATGTAAAAGAAAACGCAAAATAAGCATTTGCATTTATGTAAGTGCTAAGGAATATTTTATCTACTTAATTAAATGTGCATTGAAGGGTGAATAAATTACCAATTTAATTAATATATGTTTCCCTTTTTAATACATGTTTATATGACCAAACCGGACACTTAAGCACATGTTTGTTTTTAATTAAGATTCTTGTTTCTCAATGCCTTGTAGAGATTTCTGTGTAATTCAAATATTTGCAATTAAAGGTGTTCCCAAGCTCGTGTCGTCACACTCATAGAAATTTTCCGGTAAAATCGCCCTAAAAACAAGGAAAATCGCCCTAAAACGGGGGTCAATGGCGACTAGGCAACAATATTAGGGCAAATTGCCCTAAAAATACGGGTGAATTTGTCACACATTTAGGGCGATTTTTCGTAGATCTAGGGCGATTTTTCTATTTTCAAAGCTAATTGCGATAAAAATAGGAAATGAGACCCTTACACTAAAGGCAGTTTCCTTTAAATCCAGGGCGATTTTTCTGGACTTATAGGCGAATTGCCCTGGAAATCGGAAAAAATACCTTTAAACTAAAGGCAGATTTTCATAAATCTAGGGTGTTTTTCTGGATTTTAGGGCAAATTGCCCTAGAAATATGAAAAAATATTCTGAAACTAAAGGCAGATTTTTATAAATTTAGGGCGTTTTTCTGGATTTATAGGCGAATTGCCCTAAAAAAAGCAAAGTGCTCCCCAAAATTTCCCGGCTTTTTTTCATAAATAAAAATACGATTTCATTATATTTTTTTTTTTTTTTTATATTTTTGTTTGTTGTCATTTACACAATTTCTACTTATATACATTTACATACTTTTCTACTTATTCTTATTGCTAAAAGAATTACATCGATCTTAAAAATAATGTTTTGGCTTAATGTATTTTTTGGTCCTTAGGTTTTGTGCTTCCGCAGGAGGGAATTTTAGGTCTTTTAAGGTTTATTACAATAAGTACTGATTATCAAATTTTACTTCTAATTGAATGCATAGAAATAATACTTTTTTTTGGAATGAACAGATTGTTTCTTTAAAATAGTTACAGTTTTAAGGTTTTATAATCCTTCAAGAGTTCGGATAAAGCTTTACCTTTCTTATCAGACTCTAAATGAATTTCATAAAACATTTTTTGGATAAATGTCGTGGTTTAAAACAAAAAATATTTTGAAGCACACATCAATACTTTTCAATAAGGTTGGCATTCTATAAATAAACCTCTGATAGGTAAACTGGAAATTCACCAAGGTCAAAAAGGGCTTGTTCCCACGTTGCAGCTGAATGGTTGCAGTTTCGGCTTTCCGGATTAGCAATTTTCCGTCAATGCCTTTAGATGTGTTTGCAGTTCCCCAACAGTAGCCTTCCAAACCAAGAAACGGCTTCGCGGGTCCGCAATGGTGTGCTTCACGTTCTTGCTCCCGCCGTCCTTTTTGTCATTGCTGTCGCACCAACACTGAATGGATCGCAAGCCAAATTAAAGTTGATTGTATCTCTATTAAATAAAAACAGTCTATTTATTGAATGAGAAAAGAAAAAGAGAAAAAGCACATACCTTCAGCGTGGCTTTCCAAAGATTTGAGCAGTTTTATTCCCTTACTTTCGCTTTTAAAAAGTGCGAAAAGTGGTTTGCGGAAGCTGGATCTCAAAGACGTTCTCAATCTAAAACAAGAAATAAAATTGTTAGAAATTAATATAAAAATGCACTACTAACAGTCAGAATTTTCATTTAGCCTGCGATTGCGTTTGCTGCTACTTCTGGAAAAAAGAAGCAACAAAAGCAAATTTCGGTTACTGACGAAATGACGCAATAGAAATTTGGGGGTTATTTTGGCATATGCACTTGTGAATGCGGTTTGTCCGGTGCATAAATACAGATTTCTGGTAAATATATACATCTGTATACATGTGCAACATCTGTTGCATCATTTTTTTACCTCAAGCATTATTTACATATACACATACATATATGTATACTCTTATTAATGTTCTTACTTTGTTCTGGCACACTTCCAAAACTCTACATCTGGACCGCTGCTTCCAGTCAAATCTTTTTAAGTTTCAGCTGCATTTTCCTCTGTTACAGATATGTAAATTCAATTAGTTATTAATATCCAAATTGCACAATTATATATGTATGTACTCACCAGAAAACAGAGAAAGAATCGCCTCCCAAGTCCTTTAATAGCGTTTACATTTTTCACTTTTTCACAAACACGTCTTTCGCCGCCAAGCGCCCGAAAAATTATGACAAAGTCTAGACAATGCAACTCTTTCTACCCCCACCCTTGCCACTGCAACGGACGAAAAGTAGCAAAGAAGAAGAAAAAGGGTGGACTTCTCTAAAGTCAAATGCGCTCAGCATCAAAATTCATAGAAAAAGGTCCGCCCTAATATACACACACATTCACTTGTTTTGACCTGTCAACCACACACACATACACACATGTATTACATATGTATCCATTAATTGCGTCTTAAAATTTCGTTTGACTCTTCCTTGTTTTTAGGGCAATTTCAGAACATTTTTTTTGCTATTTTGTTCAACGTTTTAAGGCGATTTCGCACTAAAAATAAGGAATTACTTTTGGAGTCGACTCATGAAAATTCGCCCTAAAAAACAGAGCAAATTGGCCTTTTTGGAAAAACTAACCCTAAAAAATATTTTCCATGGCGATTTTTCGTAACTTTAGGGCTAGCCACCCGTATAATAAGAAAATTTTTCGTAGCTTTAGGGCGACCTCGGTTTTAGGGCGACTTTTCTAGTATTTAGGTAAAAATTTCTATGAGTGCAGACAAGCTGTTTCTCCTTGCCGTGAATTGAAAACAAGAATTCCATTCAATCAAGCACAGTGTCTTTAAATCATCCTTAAAGTTTCCGAAGTTGGCAACCCCTTGAAATTTGAACCTCATTTGTCTGGTGGTACAACATAATTTTATTGATTATTTAGGACATTGAACAACTCTCGCTGACTAATCGCATAACAACAACAGAATAAATATTTAAAAATACATAGGTTAAGGTTAAACATAGTCGTAGTCTAGAAATAAATACTTAAAGAAATTCCACTAAATGGCTAAAAATAACAGCATCATCCAATAATTGGTCATGCGCTAATTAAACTACGAAACAAACTTTTCTATTTACAGCGTATTAATGAAGCCCCGCCCCCGCCCCTGCGATCCCACCCTCACCCTCCGCTGACAGCAGCCGTCTAACGAACATTTATATATGGCTATCTAAAGTACGATTTGCATAATTACATCCAGTCGGACGGACTTTTGACATTACTCCCGCAAACTTTACTTGGCTGTCATCTGTGACCCCCGCCCAGGAATGTCATTCGTGACTTTTCGACCCCGTCTACGCCAGTTTGCGGGCCTGGACCAGTTTGTTGATGTCGTTGTAGGTGGACAGCATGGCCGGATTTTCGAAGTCCTTTAGCTCCTTGCACTTGGCGAAGGACTCGTCGCAGTCGATGCCATCCTGGCCGTCCTTTGCCGCCCGCATGTACTTGAAGAACCGCAGAATGTCCGGGTTGTCGGAGGTCGGCTTCCGCAGCTCGTTCAGTTCCCTTGAAGATAAGTAAGTTCAGAAATAATAAATATTAATCTAACTTTTTCTTGACTGCATATTTGAGAAATTAATTTAAATTTAAATCTACATGCCTTACATGCCTCGTTTCCTTAGTTATGAATAATAAAAGATTTTAATGCAGAAAATTTTATGTTAAAAATTTATTTATTACAAAGACATTAATTTTAATTAATTTTAAATTACCAAAGCTTCAGGTGCCAAATCAGGGGTAATACATTTTTTGAATTTCTTAAACTTGTATATTTAATTTTAAAACGATTTTACGAGAAAACAGCACCTAAAACGTCTTATAATTTTCTCTCTGTATATTTAGTTAGAAATAATACATTTTTCAAAACCTAATATAAAATGGCATTAAGCTAATAAAGCAAATTAACAAAGAAAAATACAAATCTATCGGGTGAAATCTAGAAAGTAAGTGTTTCCCTTTCGTATTGATTTTGCAATAGAAATAAAGAAATGGCTTCAGGGCCCATCCTACTATTAAACTGGTATTCCTTTGGTCAATACCCCACTGTATTTATTCAACTGCGATTAATTACGGCATGCTTTCAGGCGGAAAGCAAACTCACCTGCTCAGTTGGGCGGAGACCAGGTTGCTGTACGGAGCATACTTTGCGGGGTTGGCGTACATCAGGCAGATGAGTTTCTCGCGGCAAGCCTCGTTCTCAGGATTCAGCTTGAGCTGGCCAAACACCGAGTCCAGTCGGGAAAGCAGGGGACTGTAGAAGGGATCGTAGTTGGAGAGCAGCAGCGATGAGCTCGGAACCTTCTGGAAGCTCTGGAACGTGTTCATCACCGCCGGCGTTGGCTTCTTCGTCATTCCAGGAGCACCACCTCCAGCTCCGGCGCTGAAGGATCCCGACATGCTCTGGGAGTTCTTAAAGGATGCGGCTCCTATGCTCTGCAGAGCACTCAGATACGTGTCCTGCATCATCTGCTGGCCCCCGTAGCGCGAAAGAGTGGCCTGATTCACCGAATTCCCATTGACCTGAGCATATTGCGCTTGCTGCTGGGAAGCCTCTGCAAGGTAGGCAAATCAAAATTCAATGTCATCAAAATTCAATTCCCTTTTTGAGGGGGAGGTAGCCCACCTGCGTTGTACTCGTAGCCAGCTGGAGTTTTGCCCTCGTCCGCCAAGGAGAACTTGCTGTCGTCATCGAAGTTCATGCTGTTGTCCCGGAAGTCCAGTTCCTGCGGCGGTTCCATGGGGCGGATGAACAGCGGCACCGAGCCAGCCGAACCGGAAGTGATGCCTGGCCCAAAGGAATACAAATATTTAAATTTATTCAAGTCCCCTAAGCTAAAGTAGTTACCCTTGCCAATCAGCCGGCTAACACTGCTTATGATGGTCGGCAGGAACATGGCAAACAGCACGCTCTTCAGCACTTGCAGACCCATGTAGATGGGCCACATAACCTTCTTCAAGCCTGAAAGCGAAAGTGGTATCGTTAGGAGAAACATGAAAGAGCTTTTTTTAAGATATCCTCTTTAACCAAATCACTATGGACGGCAGTCCATGTAGTGACGAAGCGCACCAGGAGAGTGTGCGAAGGCGACTACTATATATACACGAAGAAATGAAAATCTACTGTGATGGTCCGATCATAATGAATAATACACCTATCGAAAGGTATTGCGAAAACTAACAGGATTGCATACCAAGACTTTAAGAAAATCAATTGGCTTGGGAGAGAGAGCGGTGAAAGTGAAAAAGTGAAAATTTCGAAATTTGGAGCTGTTGGGGCCGGTGGGGATAAATGCCCCCTCGCAATGTTTTAGTTGTATTCCTTTTGAAAATACCCGTCGAATGAGGGGTCATTTGTCAAAATCCGACTCTCCGTTCAAAAGTTATAGCCAAAATAAGATTTTCTTCTTCTTCCCAAAATGAAAATTTAATTCTGTTTGTCCACTTGTCCACTTGTCCACTTGTCCAAAATATGTTTTTTAAGTTCTGAAAATTTGATATGACGTTCATCACATCGATATAAAAAACTTTTGTTCTACCACTTTTGGAAAAACCCGCTAGTTTAGCGGGAAAACAGCTATAAGTAGCTAAAATTCGGAAAGCCGTAACTTCTATACTACTAAAGCTACAGGCTTGTGCTGCATCTCGTTTGAAAGGTATTTTTAAATGCTATAAACGCCTTCTATATGCAATTTGTGTAAATGTAATACTTAAAAAAATATGAACAAAAGACAATTTTTTAAAACTTTTTTTTAGCTTTTTTTATTTTTTTCAAAAACGGCTCTAACGATTTTCTTTAAAACCTTAAACTGTATAGCCCTTGAGATTCCTTAAATTTTGGTATATAACACATTACTGTAAAAAGTCACGTTTAAAAGTTATTTTTATTCGAAAATAGCCACTTTTGCCAGCTCGAACAATTAACGCTCCCTGAGTATTGAATTTTGTGGGAGGGTATCCGAACTGTACTTTAGGGTCATGGAATCAGTAAATTTGCACTTAAGAGTTCCATATAGGAATCTTTTGTTCTACGACTTTTGGAAAAAGCCGCTACTTTAGCGGGAAAAAGCTAAAAATAGCTAAATTTCGTTAGTTTGTAAGTTCTACACTACTAAAGGTACAGACATGTACTATACCTCGTTTAAAAGGTATTTTGAAATACTTCAACGCCTTTTTAACTTAATTTGTTAAAATACAATAGTTTAAAAATTATGATTGACCAATTTAAATTTAAATGTATATATTAGCTCCTATGAGAGCAAATGTAAACAAACAAAAACTTCTGATATCAAATAAAAACACCTCTTAACGAGGTAAAAAACTAGTGACGACCGCACCTTCAACATACAAAAGTTCTGATATCAACATTTGTGACGAAAAATTATTACACTCGTCATTAAATAGACTTTCTAATCTTTTCTCATTCGTCACGCTGCAATAGAAAATGCCTGTAAGGGGAAAAAGGCTGGAATAGTTTGCTAGGGCGGGCCGAATGAGAAAATATTAGAAAGTCTATTTAATGACGAGTGTAATAATTTTTCGTCACAAATGTTGATATCAGAACTTTTGTATGTTGAAGGTGCGGTCGTCACTAGTTTTTTACCTCGTTAAGAGGTGTTTTTATTTGATACTAAAATACTAAAATGAGTCAATAACTTTTATGTTCTATCAGCAAGCATGTGATTTAGTTCTAAAGTAAGTTCTTGATAAAATCTGACGTCTCTTTTCGCTTGAATGGTTTTGGATGGGAAGTTAGTTGTTAAGTTCAAAGTCAAGTGCATGAAAACCCCCTAAAAATATAACCATGGCGTACTATAATGACCCGGGCGATTGCTCACATGCATTTACTCAAGTGAAGACCCCAAAGGTATTTTTTACAAAATATGGCATAAATAACGAGAGGAATTTCCAAGGAATTTCTTAGGAAACTTTTTTAATAATATATGTATGATGGTTTGAATTAGTAAAACTTTAACTTACCGCTGAAGAAAAGCAGCCGAGCACTCTCGAAGGCTCTGGGAACATTCAGCTCGATATTGGTGTCCTCCAAAATGCTGCGAGTGGTGCGTTGGCCAGTCTGAGTTTGTGTGTGCGAGTGGTTCTGCTGAAGGGCTAAGATCAACCCGGGGGTGGGCTCATATTTTCCCTGGCTGAAGAACTGCTCCACATAGTCCACCAGCAGATCCTCCAGGCCCTTCAGCTCGGCTTCAATTGAGGCGGAGGAGTGGCTCGCGTTGACTGGTGAACCCGTGGGCTCCTCATTTCTGGGTGAGTCCGAGGGATGCTTGAAGTTCCGGCGCCTCATGGCCACCGTCAGGCGAAGATCGCTCTCAGTCTCCGCCGGCTGGAAGACCCTATATTGCCCCGACTTGGTGAAGACGTTACGGGAAATGAACTCCGGACTGATGTCGATGGGCAGGATGGGACGGAAGGTGTCATCGTTGCGCGGCTGTCCGGCCATCGTGGTGAGGGGCTGACTGTAGGGGGCTGCCGGTTCGGGAACATCTGCTGATGCTGATATCATCGCCACTTTGTAGAGCAAGATAATGCCATTCAGCAGCGGACTGCATCGCCGCTTCCTGTGGCTGTTTGCTTTTAATTTCGCTCCGTCGATGTCCTGGCTCCCCATTTTCATTATCCTTCGCCTTGCAACTGCACTCGCATGCCAGGGTCCGTGCTTCGATTCGGTTCAGGTTTCTGTAATGAATAATTGCACTGTTGAGACGGGTTTTCTCCTCTACGATGCGATGGAGTTGTGGCCAATTTCCGCGAACTCATCGCGGTTGGCACACGAATAAATAACTTTTTGGAACATGACAGGCAACCGAAAAAAATGCGCAACCTGATAAGCGCATTACGTGCGTCCTTGAAAGGATAAAGGTACGAGGACACTGCCGGCACAGATGAAAAACATTGTTCTTTTACTTTTCCAAATAAATCATTCATTTAAAACCAAAGTGAAAAGTTTTAAGCAAAAATGTTTAATTTATTGTTAATAGCAAAAAAGTATTCAGTAGACAACATTTTCAGAATATGATTTTAGCTATCTAAAAAATGTATAACATAAAAAAAAAATGCGTAATATAAGAAGTTTACGGATATATTAGATCTTAGTTACATCTTGCTCATACTTTCCGTTTCTCTTCCTATGTTAAACTAAAAGAACAAGAAAACGGTACCTTAAAAAGGGGGACTTTTACTTAAGCCAAGTTATATGTACATACATATACAATAGTCGGCATAATTATTTTGACAGATTTGAATGTTAACTGTACTCACATTTTGAACTTTTAATATAAACTTTCGGCACCTATAGAAAGAGCACTTCAATTCCGTTTAAATGACACAAAAATGTTCTTAACCCATTAAGACCCCTTTGAAAAGTAAGCAAATCTTGTGAAAGTCAAATTTCCAACTTTTTTCCTGGGTCTTAAAACAATGTTTTGATGCAAAGTTTTTTCCCAATGAAAATAAATAATAATAAATAAAATTTCAAAATATTTTTCCTAGTATTTTTTACGATTTTTTGAATGGAACGATCTCAGTAAAATTTTGTTGAAAAGGTGAAAAAGCGGCTAAAATTGAAATGTTTAGCTATTTTCAAAAAATCATAAAAAGTACAAGGAAAAATATTTTGAAATTTGTTTTTTGAAGTTATTATTAATTTTGATTGGGAAAAACCTTTGCATCCAAACATTTTTGTTTTAGGCCCCAGTAAAAAAGTTTAAAATTCGACCTTCACAATAAATTTTCTAATTTTCTAACTTTTCAAAGGGTGCTTAATGGGTTAAAAACATTCTTGTGTCATTTAAACGGAATTTAAGCGCTTTTTCTATAGGTGCCAAAATGTTTCTATTATAAGTTCAAAATATGAGAAGACTTAACTTTAAAATCTGGCAAAATAATTATGCCGATCAGTGTAAATTAGCAATCAAATATTTTGCCAGGTAAGGGCTATTACTCAACCCAACAAAAAGTCGTCCAAATCAAAAAAGCATAATATGAAAAAAACGTCAAAAAAATATGTTTTATATATATGAAGTTTATTGTTTTGGACGACTTTTTGTTGTGTTGAGTACTAGCCCTTAACTGTTTACTTTTTGTTATTTCTGTTTGAACTCGCTGGCTATCTTTTTTCTTGTTTTTAAGTGCAAAAAAATAGTAATCGTGCTAAATTTAATAAACCAATATAATTCGTCTAAGTGTTAATTTCAGCTATTAGATAATTTCGGTCCAATATGGGTTTTAGTTTGTGAACGCTAATCCGTCGGGTTCATGCAATTTATTTAATGATTACCCTTTCTACAAATTATTTTCACAATTTACTTGGTTCGTGCGTGGAATTCAGCTAATTTTGTTGAGCATTTTAATCCATTTGTTTGGCTGAAGCGAGGGGCTAATCACCACAGATAATTCAGGTTTGTTTTGCCCACTAAATAAATACCTTCATTTCCTAAAATTCGAGGGCCACAGCAACTATAATTCACAATTGTTAGGGGATTACGCGATCAAAGCTTTTAGTTTGAAAAATATAATTTGATTCTGTTTATTCTATTCCCCAAAGGTAAAATTAGTGCATTCAATAGTGCTTCCAATCTCTTAATATTTTTCAGAGTGCACGTTAAACAATTTTATTTTTTTCGCGACTGGCGCTAATCAGGCCGGGTAATGTGAATGATTTGCTGTTTCCCACTTGATGGGCCTCCCAATTGGAGGGGCTCGTGCCCAGCACCAACCATACCTCAGATCCCCCTAAAAGCAGCATCTCTTCGGCACACAAAGCACGTCGCAAACTTTTTATTTGCCTTTGCCATTCGTCGCACTCGTTTTGTGACAAGCTATTCAGTATACGCCATATTCCATCCACGCCCGTCCACCTCCACATCCCCGCCCTCATCCGAGCTCCACACTTTGGGGCTTTGGGAGCCCGAGTCCGGAGCTCTCCGCTGGGGAAAAGTGAAAATGTACACTGTTTTGTTTGTATTTACCCAGCCCGGGCGCTTCGGATGCGTTGGCGCTACCTTCATACTTCAGACTTTAGACTCCAGTCCAGATCACGTTATTTTCGTGTTGCATTTTCACTTTCGATTTTCCACGGCGAGCGGCAAACGGCGAACGGCAACGGCAATGGCATGAAAAACTATTACAGAACTGAGTTTGCTGGCTGTAAAGCCGCAAATTGCAGCCAGCAATTGCGCTGCACAAAGCGAATCAGCGAACTTCTTGTTTTTCAGTTTATTTGTTTGCTCCGCCATCAAAGCTTAAGAGGCTGCCTCCTGCAGTCGACTGTGAACTTAATTGGAAACAGTGCTGCCATCACACAGCTTGAAAAACAGGACAGATAAGCCAAAAAAAACAGGGAAAAAAAGGACAAAAACTTTTAAAAAAGGACAAAAAAAGGGACAAAAGTAAATGCGCCTCCATTTTTCTGTTTTACCAATGGGTTATATAATTACTTAATTTAAATGGATTTTATATTAAATTCAATTATGTAATGACCTACTGCGCCCGACTCACATCCTTCTTTGTTTGATCATTTTACCATGGTAAATTTTTGTGCGTATACGTAATAATCTAAAATTATTAAAATAATAAAAGCATTTCAAGTAACTATATTGGTAATACAAAAAAATTCAATTTCTGCGTCAAACCCGAATAAGAGTCGTTAAAATCTGAAATTTTTTTCTGACAAAAAAGCAAAGAGTAAAAATTAAGAAATTTTTAAAGTGTTTTTCCTTTTTTTTTTGCTACAGAAAAAATCGTACTATAAAGAAAATCCATCGACTGCTTTACGTCTCTTTGATAATTTGTAAAAATAATTATTTTTTAAGTGCCGAACTGTAAGATTGATGGTTAAAAGGGCGTTTTAGCATATAAAAACAGGTTTACACTTTTTCGACTGGCAAAAATAACACTCAAAACCTAATTTTTGAAAAAAGGACAGATTTCCGGATAGGGGATGTTTCAAATTTTTTCCGGATAAACCCGTTAAAAAAAGGACAGATCTGTCCGGAAAGAGGACAAAATGGCAGCACTGATTGGAAAACACATGTTGGCAGGTGGTAAGAATGCTCCCAGTTAATTATCCGCGCTGCGCTAATGTTTCCGGACTGGAAAACCGTCGGTCGGGAGGCAATGTCACTTCAGATCCTGCATGGAACGCCTGATTAAACTGACTATCAGGTTGCACCAAAGCCTTCATCAGCAGATATTCGAAGTCAGCCAAAGTGTCGGGGAGGAAATTTGAAATTTAAGGATGCGCGCTGTGCTGGCAGCTCACTCACAATAGAGAATATTCTACAAAGGCGGATAGCTTTGTTTTAACTCACTCGGATTGAGTTAATCAATACTGGAAATCCTTTTTCATTAACGTCTAATAAATGCCACTCCAAAATCATTTGTTTAAGTACGGAGGTTAAGTTTAAAACATTTCCCTATGATAGTTTTGAATATTCAATTTAATATCTAATAAATTACGCTTTAGCCCAAGCTTATGAGCTTGCACTTTTGAATGCCTTCAGTGAATCCCATTCAATAGAGACAGTTGATAGGCCCCACTGACTGATTGAAAATTGTTTCTGCTCGGTGCTCTGAAGAGGGGAAACTTCCCATGGCATGCCGTGCGGTTGTTTGTAAGCCAAAGTCAAAACCGCTCATCTCGCTTTGTTTGAGCATCAAGATGCAGCTGGGGATTTGAGGCGACAGTAAGCTAATATCTGCGCCTCTAATGGAAACATTAAGATCATTGCCAGCCCATTAGGGGCCATCATTTATAAGTTTGCTCTTTTGTCGGCGGGAACTCCCCTGAGCGGCTGTCTAAATATTTCATCAAAAAGTATCGCCAAGCTCTTTATGTATGAACTCCCCAACACTTTTGTTGCATTAATTATTCACAGAGTGCACGCTTTTGGGTCATGACAATGGCATCATGCAAATTAGTTTTTTACCATTACAATTAGAACCCTTTGAGCCCAGCCCCTGCCCTCCCTTCGACAAGACTTAGTTATGGTTTGTGCTCGGTCTACCTTCATGCTCTGATATTCCGCTCTGATATAGTTAAGGCAAACTTTTCGCAGAGGCGGCGTTTAATCAGATTTTTGCCCCCCTGCTTTTACCATATTATTCTGTTCTCCATGCAGCGGCGCTCATCCGAGGCGAAGTTTCCCAATTAAGTCACAAAAGTTTCCCGGGCTCTGATCTAATGGAAACCGATGTCTCGGCCGCACATGCTCCATATTTCCATGGGCTCCGGCTCTATGGCTCGCAAAAGGGGGGTCACGGGGTTAATAAGCTGGCAATCATTGTTTGCGACACGCTCGTCCAACGACTCTTAAAAACCGAGGAGCCACAAAGTACAAAGCTCGGACGATGGCAACCAGTTTGGCAGAAGAGCTGGTTGACAAACAGCGACCACTAACGGTCGAAAATGCTCGTAAACGCGCTGCATCGTAACTGTTAGTGTGTGACATAACTGTTAATTCCAACAAAGGCCGAGAACAAGTTGGCCGAGACCCGAGGAAAGCCATTTGGCCATCTGCTGCGGTCGGATGGCAGGTGCATTCACCCACAGATTGAGTCTGGTTCTGACGGACAAATGGGGAATTATGGTCGAAATGGTCAACTTTCTGTGGTAGTTAATAATTTCGGCTTAAAGCTGATTCTATGTATGAGTTGCTATTTCCCATTTCTCTTTCACAGGGAGCTTTTGTGAGGGAAGCCAATTTAGAAGACATTTTTAAGGGTCATAAATGCGAAATATTCAAGACTATTTCCCAGAATACTTTTTTTGAAATTGAATTTGTTTTTTTTTTGTACGGCTTAACTTTATTCCCAAAGCACAGTAAGCCAACTCAAAACTGTGATTATATCTATGTGGAAATCCCTTAAAGAGCAGGAAAGGAAATTCCATTTGTGATTTGCTGAACCTCAAATTTATTTTTTAATAGCTCAAGAGTTATTCCAATCCCAACATCATAAATTCATTTTATATACGTTACACATGCATATTTGTTCTGGAGTTTCTTAAATGTCTGCAAAACTTTGACAGCTTTTGACCCTTCTGCAACTCACTTTTCTGATAAAGCAGGCGCGATAAAAACCTGAGTACTAAATTGATTGAATGTGTATCTACTGCGCGAAACCTTCGTCACTCTTTAGTCGTTGGCAGCTTTGAGTCGAGCATTAAGTCACACACGATAAATATTGTCTGGCAAATCCTGAATGGCTTAGACGGGCTGTTTTCTCGACTTTAACTGCTCTCACTCGAAAGCGAAATAATGGCCGCTACGTGAGGAACTTGGCTTAGACTTTTTCGGAATGGCTTTAATCGATTCCGGGGTAGGACTTTCGATTTCAGCTGATTCCCTTGAAAAGCGGCAATGCAATCTCCACGGGCTGCGTCAAATGGAATTTCGGTTTTCGCCAATTAGCCGCCAATTTGGCCGCGATGTTAGCAGCCCATTAGACGCTGATTGTTTTACGGGGCGTTTCCCCCACTCGCATTGAGTGATTTACATGCGTGCCCAGCACCTGGGTGGTGTGTCTGCTATTTGACTGCGATTCGACTGCCATTCCGCTGGGCTTTAGAAAGTCGCCTGCTATTTATGTCGTTAAGTCGGTGCTGTAAGCCCAAATTAAAATTAAAAGTGATGCAATCGCTGCTTTCTGTGAGTTCACTCAAATGACATTTAATTCACAGCCAATCCAAGCCGAACTCAAGTGCCCGTGAAACCATTTTGACATGCCCATCTTGCGAGGATGTGGAGCGAGAGCACTTCCATATGGAAATACGTGTGAATGCGGTCTGCATCTGCAGCTGTCGGATGATATGAGTGCTTTCGACAAGAAAGTTGCTTCTCCAGCCAGGGAGATTTAAAAGCTGGCGAAATGAAAGTGCGAGTCGGGCGGATGGCTCGCCACTGGGAAAACACTCATGACTCACGAGGATGTGCCACTGCCTCTGGCTCTGGCTCTGCCTCGGAGTCCCAACCCACTCGCATTTCACTAAGCTGCACCACTGCACCACTAACCACAATTCCACGACTCACTAGAAATTAATATGTGCGCTGCAGTCCGATTAAAAGCAACAATTGTGGCACAGAAAAAAGTTATGAATGCTTTTGTATGGTATTTTAAAGATGTTTTTCCGATTTATGAAATATATTTATAATATATATATTTATAAAATATGAATTTTTTATTACTTTTTTTCGGGTACATGAAAGTAGGGATAGGATTGTTTTGCTTCTACAAAATTGAAGGTTTGAAATTGTGTATCATTTTGATTTTTGGAATACAAAAGAAAGGGATCACACACTCTTGACCTGCAAATATCATGTTTGGTCTATAATTTGTCTCTGTGTGGCTCACTCCTCCGCTCGTATCATTTTCATAATTTTGCAGTTGATCGACTGAGACGAGGGCTTTCTTCGACGCATTTTTACGCGCTGTGAGCCGAAAAAGAAAGTATCGTTAAACATTTGGCGACGCTTCGATTGCCGGCCGAGCCGAGCAGATGATTCCCTTTTGCCCAGTTGGGGTAGGCCAGCTGGTTGGCTTACGTAACACCTCTCGACAATTAATTACGGAGATTGTGGAGCTTTTCTATTAAGTTAGCGGCCAGTTTTTGGCCCACACAGTGTGAGACTCGGAGACTGGAAGTTTGGAGATACAAATGCGGAGGGACAGCGAAATGAATGGCTTTAAACAGCGACAACAGTGTCGACAGGGAAATGTTAACAATCGGTTTCTTTTCTGCTTTGTCGGTGGTAACAATAACAACCTTCTCCCCAACTCAGGCGATATATCATTAATTGCCCGAATCGAGACTGGTGAATAAAGTCTGCTCGGAGGATCTCGCTGGTGATTAATGAGGCCACTCACCGGCGGCCATCAATTACAACTCAATTTACCTTCTCGCACTCTGGGCCGTGTAATTCCTGCAGGAGTTTCTGGTTTACTCAGTTAACTGGCAATTCGATTTTTGCATTCGTCGTCGGAGAACTTTCTTCGCCAGACTTTCGTTTCTGTGTGTTTCGAAAATGGAATTGCATTCACTGACGCTCAGCGTCGGCTCTCCGATTTGGCCTGGTGAAAATACTGGCCGAAACCCGTTCACTCACTTCCTTTGTCAATGCAGTCGCCACAGCTCGTTTCACTTTAACAGCACTTTGATCCACTGATCACCGAGTATTTGCCAGTACAAACAATGGCCCCACTTTTAGACAGTGCAGCACACGCCACTGTTATTTTGGCAGTTATTATTATCGATGGGTTTCTGGGACCGCAAACTAGCTTTCCTTGGATTTATCGCACGTCTGCGTCTGTTGCTGAGCTCGCGAAGATTTGGACTGCCGGGCGAAAGCCAAACGGCGGGTGCGATCAACCAGTTTGGGGCCTTACGTAGCGCTACGAGAGCGGACCGACTTTACGTAGCGAAGAGCGGCTTAAGAGCGTCTCTCGGCCTGTCTTTGAGCCGGGCCCAAAGCTGAAGGCATCAGCTGGCGACGAAGCCGAGTGACAAAGCCGTCGACTACACCGACAAAAATTTTGAGGCTTCCGTAAAGGGTTACTTAAAATCGGACTCATTGGAATAGCACAACCATGAACTTTCGTCTAAATAAGTATTTTTATCTCTATAAAATAAGTTATCTCAAGTTTATATTTTGTTTTACTTAAAATAAGGACTGTATTTTTATACCCGTTACTCGTAGAGTAAAAGGGTATATTGTATTCGTGCAAAAGTATGTAACAGGGAGAAGGAAGCGTTTCCGACCCTATAAAGTATATATATTCTTGATCAGGGTCACTAGCCGAGTCGATCTTGCCATGTCCGTCTGTCCGTCTGTATGAACGCTGAGATCTCGGAAACTACAAAAGCTAGAAGGCTAGAAGCGCCACGCCCCCTCTAACGCCCACAATCGCCCACTTACGATTTAAAAATGTGTCTGGCGCCCACACCTTCCGAGAAGTATAAATGTCATTTTGTTGTGTATGTAGAAGACACTATCGAAATGTAGAAGACATTTTTCAAAGCGGACCATTCATTAAAAAGTTATACGCAATCAAAAAAAATGTATATATCCATCTCCCTCGCACTCCCTTTAGCCGAGTGACGGGTATTAGATAACCGGGACACCAACCCGACTATAGCGTTTTCTCTTGTTTATAGTTATAATTGTAATTTTAATTAAAGGCAGTATAATAAGACGATACCATGTCTTTCACGAAAACTTTGTTCAAAGAAAGCATTTTCCTGAAATTTAAAAATAAAAACGAATATACATATTAGTTTTAAATAATGATTTTGTGCTATTTAATATGATATTTATTATTTTTGTCATTAAATAAGAACGTAAAAACTATCACAAAAAGCAACATAAAATATTTTCTCAGTGTACAGACGCATCATTGGTCCACCCGGTTTCGCTTGCACACGGGAAATTAGTCGCTAATGAAAACGTCTACTCTCTGGACAGCTCACAAAATATTAAAAAAAGTAGGGACCCTGACGCCGTGAAATTGCATGTCAATTTTGCATGTAAATATATATGAATAATATGAATCTCTGGAAATACGACAAGTCATGGCGCAAAATAAGCGTCACCATATGCTAACGGAAAGCGGTCACTTAGTCAGTCGTAGGTTTAGTCGAACTTTCGATTTTGTTTGCCCCCAGAGGGAAGCTGTGGGACCTCTGTTGAAAAAACTTGGCCAAGAGTTGCCGCAAACTTCATTTAATTTGTTACAATTTGTTTCATTGTGTTTTTCCCCACCAAAAGCGGATAAACTTTTGAAAGATTGAGGTTCCCCACGCAATTTGCACTCGATTAAAAATAATTAATATTGCAAATTGCCAAACAAGTATGGATTTCGGAGTTTCATAAACTTAAAAGCAGCAGACCGGTAGAGAGTATTAAATGGCTGAATGAATCAATATTACATCGACGTTGTTACTTTAAGGGCACAAAAATTTTAAAATAAACAAAACTACACAACGTTTAAAATAATCAAAACTTAAATAAATAGACCATGTTTCAAAAGCTACCCGATGATGGAAAGGTTTCTATGATTTCTGTTATATTTATAATTGTAATTATCCGGAACAAGAACTAATTTTAGCAATTTATAAATTACAATTCACGTTGTGTTATCGATAATAAGAGAAAATATTTATTTTGACTTTAAGCAACATTTATGGGATAACTTGGCAGACTAATAAAAGCTCGGAGTTTCATGATTTCCTTGGCAAGAGTTTTGGATGCAAACTTTTAAGATTTTTTTATTAGGGAACCACAATGTAATGGATTTGTGGGTTTCATGGGCCAAACCAACCATGGTTAACTGATTCTGAAACTGAATAAGCCCCCAGGACCATCTCTCCCATTTTGGTTGCAATATAAAATAGTCCAATAACATCTGCTCTCTCTATATGAAATTCACATGTTGTTGTCGGGGGGATTAGAGGATTAGGGATTCCGTGCACAGTTACAAAATGCACCATGCATTCCTGCACATCTGCCGAGCATTTTCGATTTCTATAAATATTTAAGATGGACTAGTTTAGCAGCGTAAAGTGTAAGCAGATTTTCACTTATTTATAAGTGTGCCCCGTTTGATCTGTGAACGGGTTTTGTTGGCCGGTTTACGCATGAGAAAGTCGTCGCTTAGAATTGGCCAACTGAGCGTCACATTGTTATTAATTTCTGGTGACAAACTTTGCCATTGACTTGTGGCTAACAAGCGGAAACGCCCCACCCCCGACCATCAAACCGGCAAACCGCCGAGCCACTGAACCACTGAGAAGCTCAAAAGCCAAAACGAAATGAAAGCCAGTTTATGGGACCGCAAAATCAATAACCACTCTCAGTGTAACAATGGTCCGAGCAATGTTTTCTAAAAGCCCAACGCAAATCGGGGCCAACTTCTTTGCTCAGACAACAATTTGCGAACTCCCATTTGTACCAGCCATCCATCCATCCAACTGTATGTGAAAGTGCTTGCAGCGGATTCATTTAGCACCTATTAAAGAGCCGCCAATAATGTCAAAGAAATGTCATCCTCCATCATTCGCCATCGACATGTGTCCGACGGCAGCGGGATGCAAAGATTTAAGTGCCTTGAACCCAGGCACATATATTACGTTTCATCTCAGTGTCAGTCCCAATCCGAAGCTGAGTCTGAATCTGAGTTCCATCAATTTGTATGCAGAGAGGGTCTTCGGTTTGCCGCAAATATTTGCGAACCTTTGCTTTGAATTTTGCTCCAATCATTAATTTCACTTTTACTCATAAATATGCTAATTGCCCGCTCACGCCGGTTCCGTAAAATTTCGTTGCCGGCGAATCCATCGGGTTGGAGAGGCAGACCCAGAATGCTTTTGTCACCATTGCGCAATCTGCATGAGAAGAAAGTGAGATGGGCACTCGTAATCATCAGATGACGGTGTGTGTCTGTGTGTGTTGACCAGGGGAAATGGAAATGGAAGGTGCGGAGTCGGCTGAGTGTGACAAAAAGTAAGGCAAACACTTTCACAAGCCGCAAGTGCATGAGGCCGTTACCAGCCGTCACAAACGGCCAACTGACCGTTGACAGTTTTACAGCAGCCAGAAGCAGGTGAGCCGCCTCACCTGTCGCATCACGCGTTCCCCAAAGAAATTTTTAATTAGTTTATTTTATTTGTGTTTCATTTTCCACGCCGCCTGGTGGGAACATTTCACTTTTCCGTGCGATCCATAATTCACTCGCCACCGGTCACGTTTGTGTCACACGTCGGCGAACTGTGAACCGAGCTGCAAACTGAGGAGATGGTGACTGACCTTTCGCCCACGACGGTGCGTAGACCCTAATTGAAATGTAATCATGCACTAATTTAGCACAAATTTAGCTTGTCGTTAATCAAGAGAACCTTATGAAAAATGCGGTCTAATGAGTTTATTATTAGCAAACCCGAGACGGCCTTAATTGGGGTACTCGTTTAAGTTCAGATAGATTTGTGTTATATTTTACTAGCCCACATTTGTTAAGACTATGTTTTACGAGTATATGTTTTTGTGTATCTAAAGATATAGATATTCTGCTTCTCAAACTTCCGTGTGGCAGTGGCCCAAAGTTCGCATGCTTATGTGCTATTTTTATGGGTCGTAGGTTTTTATGCTGCGGCTGCTTGAGTGACTCGAACCCACAAAAGTGTCAAAGGTTAAGTGTTGGGGCGGGTCAGCTGCTGTTTATAGCTGTGGCCGTTAAACTGGTAAGCACGGTGTCCCTTTTTGTTTAAAAATCTTTAAAGATAACTTACCTTACTGCAACTTACATACTCATATGCTTAAAATCCCCACTTCATTTTGTTAAAAACTCAAAGCTGCAAATAGTTTGAATGATTTTGGGGAGAAACAAGACCGAATTCCGAGTAAATAAGAGCGCTTCAATTTGAACACTTTGGGCAATTCAACAGGCATTTCTAATTGGCACTTCACCAAAGCTCTCATTTGGCATTTAGAAATTTTTCAAGTGAAACAGCTCCATTATGCAGGACTTGTAAACAACATTTATTAAAATATTTTTTAGTATTCGTGTAGCAGACATTAAAACAGTTTGCCTTAGGATGTTTTTAGAGCTGCTGACATTTATTTTAAAGTTATCTTTTACAATTATGGACTAATATGTAAATTCACTTTCGTGAATTTCAAGTTATCCTATTATTAGTGAATAGCAAACAAAACATCAATTATGGCTAATCCTAATCTTATATGATATAAAGACATAGCTATGAGAGAAAGAAATATTTCCTAGGAACTGTTTGAGGGGAACTTATTCGATGTCTTAGGCGTATTCGACTTATCAAATACCCGAAATCCAATTGGGGGCTCAATCAATTACTTTCCGGCATTCGATATGAAAGTGATCAAACCATAGACTTAGTCCGACGTTGATGGTGGATGCGATGAGATGCTCGTTTAGGAATAGATTACAGGCTGCGAGATATATACTCGTTGTGTCTCTTAACTTAGGTGTAACTCAGCTTGGCTTTGGATCACTGGACAATATGTATTTTCAGTAAATTCTAAGAGCGAATTGAAAGTCGCATCACTCGAAAGCCGCTCCAGCCGCCCGCTGCTCCAGGATTGATTGCCAATTTAGTACTGTTCCAAACTGAAAATGTGTCACAAAAAGCTGGGTCATAATCGATGGCTGCTCAAAGCAAATAATGTCACAACATGGCAACGACAAGAGTTATAGCTCGTCAAGGCAACGATAAAAGGAACTGTGAAGCGCATGCATACACTGGGAAAAAGTATGATGAAATTATAGACAACCGAGAGCAATCATGTTCGAGCCACAAAGTAGCAACACCCAGAATCAGGAGTTGAAAAATAATATCCATTCTCAAATATTTTCAGTTTTCAAGACATTTCTGATTGTATTAAAAAGGTAAAAAAAATTTATTCGGGATTAAGATTTTGCAACAAAAAGGAGTAAGAAGTTTATAATTACTTTTGAGCTATTTTTGATTTAAAAATAAATAAATTGGTAAGCAATATATTTACAAAAATAATGTAAGCTAATTAACATTAACGATCTTAAAAAATAAACATAATTAACATGTTTTTCAATAATTAATTAAATTAAATTAATAAATTAAATATTTAAGAAATAATTTTAGGCCTTGTAAACCTCTGAGAAACTGTACAAAAGTTTATAAAAATATTTATTTTCAAAACCACTTAAAATATTTCGAAACTATGTGGTTCATGTAAAAACAATATGGAATCATTACAACAAAAATGTAAATGTCTTAAGAAATAATTGTTAAACCCTGAGAAAATGTACAAAAGATTATAAATATATTTCATATTAAAACACACACACAAAAAAATAAAAAATAAATTTAAAAAAGGAGCATTTTGAAAACTCCTTTTAATTTTCGCATCCCCCAGTATCAAAGCTAAAGTTAAATCTTTAAGACTTGTGACCTAACGACACGACTTTGCGCTCAGTGTGCTCTGAATATGGCAGTTGCAGTTGGAACAAGTGAAACGTAAGGGAGCAGCAGCGACGCTTGGAGCATGCAAATCCAATCAGCCCGAGGGCGCACAAAAGGACATGCACGCGTGTGTCCTGCGGAGGTGGGCGGTCACGGAAATGTCCATGAACCGGACCCCGAGGACCCTAAGGACTACCCTGTGCTTTACCGCGGCATCAGCTTGGTGACCTCCGAGGGCACCGGATTGTGGTCCGTGAGCGCCACCGACTCGGTGATGGCGCTGCGCAGTCCGCCCTCCTGGTGGCCGGTCATGAAGTCGGTGGCCGCCAGACCGCCCTCGCCGCCGACGGTGCCGCTCTGGGCGCCGCCGGGCCCCAGCAGCTTGAGCTCGCCCTTGGAGAGATCGGCGCCTAACTTGCGACGCCTGCGGGCCGCCGCCTGGACGTTGCAGCCTGTCGTGTGACCGTTAAGAGCAACATTAGTGTCTGAGCAACGGCAGAGCAGTTCTTGAAATTCTTTACGGAAGTTGTCGTTGAGCCAGCCGTAGAGCAGCGGGTTGGAGCAGGCGGAGCTCATGCCGATCATGTGGCAGATGGCATAGCGCACCAGCATGCTCTGGGTGACCGGCGAGCGCTCCATGTCCGCGTACAGGTTGAAGAAGTTCAGCGGCAGCCAGGAGACGCCGAAGATGATGGCGATGCTGATCAGCAGGCAGTTGGTCCGCTTCATGCGCCGCCCGCGCTCCACCTTCCGCTGAGCGGACGCCGCCTGCACGGCCACCACGGTGATGCGGCTCTTCAGCTTGTTGTAGATCCCAAAGTAGGCCACCGAGACGATCACGATGGGCACCAGGTACTGGACGCACAGCGAGAAGATCGAGTAGTAGAAGCGCCCGTTGCGACTCGGCCAGTCCTCGATGCAGTACGGGATCGTGTCCTGCAGCCCGATCTGCTGCAGCAGGGCCGGGGTGTCCGTGTTAATCAGCTCCTTGTAGACGAACAGCGGCGAGGCCAGCAGCAGGGCCAGGGCCCAGATCCCCGCCAGGATCGTCACCGCGCCCACGAATTGCAGGCTGTCGCGCGTGGGGTACACGATCACCTGGAAGTAAAGTCAGGGGGTGATTCAAGGATAGCTCAGGGGGTCACTATCCAACGGTTCAATGGATTCAACCTGGTCTAAAAAGGTTGAATTAAGCTGGGAACATCGGGAATAAACTTAAGCACCTGTACAAACTAGGATAGGAAATATATATCTACATTTGTGGTATACCACATACATATATGTAACTAAACAAAAGAAAATGGTGGGGGGGAAATCAGAACAATTTTTTTGCTTACTTTTTGCATACCAAAATTCCTTTAATTTTTCACCCGAGTGGTGGATTATATCACCCCCATATCACCCTCCGTGGATCCGCGAGAGTAGTCTCTTCAATATTAGATAACTACTGTATAACTATAGCGATGTTTATCCCCGAAATAATAAGGTAAATTTAATAGCTTAACCCTTTTAATCGAAAGCTAATAGTCCCACTGACCTCTATACATCACCCCGTTTAACAAGCTTTCGGCTCGCCACCATTTATATTAATAACTTTAATCGTGGGTTAAGCATTCGAGTAATCGCCAAATATTTACTCAGAGCCCATCGATTTTCGTTCAACGTCAAATTTAATGGTTACAAATTGAAGCCATTCGCCTCATTAATACCGGGACATGACTTGCCCCATTTACATACTAATGTTGGCATTAAAAAAGGCCGAGCCGGGACTAACCTGATATCTGTCGAAGGCAATGGCCGTTATGGATATTGTCGACACGAAAATGCAAAGTGCCTGCAGCATGGCAATCGTTTTGCACAGGATGGAGCAGGAGCCGTAGGGCCAGTACTTGGACAGGATCTCCATCAAGGTCAGCGGCATGGTGACGAGGCACAGAAGTAGATCTAAAAGTCCGATCGGATTAGACACGGATTTCCGCCGGCCCGGGGGCTTCAACTCACCCGATATGGCCAGGTTTAGGATGAAGAGGTTGCGGGCAGTGCGCATAATGGGCTTTCGGACCACGGCTATGACCACCAGAGTGTTTCCCAGGGCTCCGAACACAATCAGCACGCCGTACATGGTGATGAGCATGTGGTACCAGGGGCTGTCCACCGCCCTGTTGCTTAGGAAGCGGTCGATGAGCACCGGGTCCAGCGGCCTGCTCCCAGTCTCGTTCAGATCCGAGGTGTTGATGGCCGTGGTGTTGAGGGCGTGCACCGTGCCCAGGTCCAGGTAGTCCAGGGGATGCCGGTCGTCGAGATAGCGGCCACTGTTGCTGCTGCTGGCATAGCCACCCAGTTGCTCCCCGGCAGCCAGTTGGCCGGGCTCCGTCTGGTTCATGCTGATTATCTGGCAAACAGAGAAGGCAAACAGGCTCCTATTATTCCTCAAATCCGCAGCGAAAATATTCAATTGTCAGGGGAAAGGAAGATAGAGGCAGGAGGTCGGCTAAGAGGAGGGAAACTTTGCGTGCCACATCACGTATGATTTATGAGATTGGCTGCAGCACACGCCACACATTCCAGCTGGCTGCGAAAGGCAAATTCCGCTGGTTTATGGGGCCGCCTATGCGAAATTCGGGGCAATAATCGTATGAAAAGTTTGTGCGGTGCCGGTAGGTGGCCCAGCACCAAAGGATTCTATGGGCATTCGACATGAATGAAAGTTCTGACGCCTCAGTAGCAGGCAATCACTATGAGAAATTTGGGATACAATCATCAAAGCCAATAAATTATGACCTATTTTTTAGTAAAGATATAGACCATTAAAATTATTAAATGTCCTTATTTTATAATATGTTAAATATTTTATTAAAACTAATACCAAATTCATTAAATTGTATTTAACAAGCTTTTTGTCTATAGGTCCAAAAACATAACACACCCAAAAATCAAATCATTTGATTTGGCAATTAATTTATTATTTGTAAAATGTTAGTTAGGAATTCCAAACAAATCTCGGCCGACCTTTAAATCGTAGTGCTTTTGGTCTACAAAAACGTTATCTTGATAGAAAATCCATTTTCCAGCATGCTATTTTAATAATTGAGTTGAGATCTCAGGGCTTGATAAAAACTTCAAACGCCCTCGCTCTTCGCCTTTTGATGCCTTGCTGAGCACAGACAATGGGCCTGGCTCATGGGACTTGACTCGCAAATTATCTGCTACAGGATAACTTTGACAGGGCAAAATCTTTCACTTGGTCTTAAAGTTTTGCCCGTTGTTTTATTTTTGCAAAATGTCTTACCATTCGGTGTCAATTCATGTCATATCTCAATTTTAAATGCCTCGGTGCCTGGCTCGAGTTAGTTGGTTCTTTCCCTCGTAAATATTCATGCATTACCCGGCGCCATAATTTATGCAGCACATCGGGGCGAGACATGCACTTAATTGGAAAAACTCAAAAGTGCTGTTCTCGGGGAAATGTGCGTTTGATGCCTGGCATTTGTTACCAGAGCAAGATATCGTGGTGCCGAGGGACAGCCGTCAGATCCAGATACATATACAGACACAGGCCCAGATACAGGCAGGTTATAAATGACGACATTTGCCAAAAATAATTGTGTAATTTTATGCGCCGAATGGCTGCGCACTTGTCAGTATCGATAAAAGCCGATGGCTCGGCCGAAGGTGGGCGAAACAGACTTATGGGGCGCCCAAAGGTATGCATTACCCCTGACAGCTGCGATAAATGAGGCGCTAATAAATCTCGCCAATCGGGGGATTAACTCGCTAGATAGCCGATGGGCGGGGGATCGGAAGCGAGCCGAAGACAAAGTTGCCATGGAAATTTAATTTCAAGTTGGCCGGCACTTAATTGACTAATATTTGCACTACCAACTCAAACATCAGGGCCCCGAGACTTGGCCAGTCGGCCAGCCCTAAATGGGAAAGTCTGCCGACCGCAAACTGGCCAGTCTGCAAAATGGTTTGGATTCCCCTTCCGCTCCGGGCGAGGACCTAATAAAAAAGTTTTTGCCCCGCAAAAGGAGCAGTGCAAGGCAGGCCGAAGTTGATCACCAATTTGTCGCAGAAGTTCCAATCGCAGTCCGTACACGACTTTGAGGAATTGACTCAAGGTGGAAATTGAATTTTCATGTCCTTTTCCCCAAAGGAAAATCACTGCGCAGCTGCCTTCTCGGTTCGGTGGGGTCGCACAAGGGAAGTTAGTGTCGGAAGAATTATGTAAAGCAGCCTCAAGTCATCGGCAGTTGTCACAAATTTGGTATAATTTTCGGAATACGAGTTCCTCCAGCTCCAGCCTTGTCGCTTCACTGGATAAGCGGAGCGTGACAAAGGTTTTAAATGCCATCCAGTTTTCGGGAAATTCAAGTTCGATTCCGGCCTGGTTTTCCCGCTGCCTGCTCAGCTATTTTTGTGATTTATTTGCGGCTCTCTTGTTTCGCCCACAACAAGATGAATTTTATTGCCGCCCGTGCGATTTGTTTGCTGCAAATACGTCCTTCCCCTGTTGGCTGATGAGTTTCTCAGTTTGTGCCCAATAAGAGACCCTTTCGCCTGCCCCCAGGACGTTTTGTTTATTAATTGAAGTCGATTTATCTCGAACATGGAAGAGGTAAGTTCTGCCGGAATTGGCCTCATCTGCTCGGCTGGTCAAGTCCAAATTATTCACTGCGAAAGTGATCTGCTCTGTCTAGGCGGGTACATCTGGCCGAGTGCGAAACTGGGTTTCTTAGGAATTAATCATCTAAGCTGCTTAAGGGCTGAACACAGATTCTCGCCCATTTGTCTGAGTCCTTTGCAATTTAATCATGTTCTGTGTGCCGTTTAACACTTCTTAGGTGTCAAAGAAAGCCACAGAGTGCTGGGATAAAAATAAAAATTCATATTACCCAAAATCCGGCCCACGAAAATGCTGTGCGATTGCGTAACCAGGACAGCAATTATTGCGTAAATTGATATGCTTTCGCTCGACTTTTAAGCCTTCCCCGAGTTTTCAAATTGCCCAGGAGAGGGGAGCATTATTTTGAAATTTGTATGGTTCCTACGCCAGCAAATTGGCCCCAATCTGGCGGTGTATCCTGCAAATGTCAAAAAAATGGGGCTTGCGCTTGCACAGCCATATGGCCATATGGCCAAGTTAGACCAAGAAGTAGAACAAGACCAAGACCAAGACTGATTCCCCCAAAGCAACTCGAACAAACTTTTTCATTTTAGGAACAAAGTAATTTCGTTCCGTTTGACATCTACTCCGAAATGGCTTCTTCAGACGGCTTTAAGTATTTATATTGCAATTACACTCACCATCGTATCGCTCTGGCAATCTCCTCCGCCCTGGGGATATATATGCTAGTACGTAGTATCGTATTGTTCTTCCTGGCCGTCGGCTGTTGTTTTCCGCCTGCGTGTGACACGAGTGACTCTCTGTTTTTGTGGCTGCCACAGCAGCAGTTGCTCATTTAGTTTCCAATTTGAAGTGCACTCACGGGACTTCGCTGTTGTCTTTCCCGTCTTGAAATTATAAGAAATAAAAACATTTCTGCTAATGGATGCTTTCGTTAAAGGGGTGCGTACATCTAGCCTATAATCCGCTCAGCCAAGCTGCTTGTCAGCATAATCAACTTAATTAAATGCCTCAAAAATTCTCGAGATAGAGCAAAGTTTGGGACACAGCTTAATCCTCCGTGCAACAAACACACGGGCCTCAAGTTAAAAAGTTTGCACAAGATGGTTGCAGTTTTTAAGTGCCTTCGGGGGTTCCAGTTTTGCATGCATTGGTATGCATAACTTTTGGAACATTTTCCAGATTCTGGCGCACTTTGAGGTGGTTTCTTCCCCAGTTAAGCCATGCTCAGTTGCGCGTCAAACCCTTTCGGCTGAACTGAGTTTAAATTGACTCGGCAGTCTGAGAGGGGACTTTTCGGTTCACATGAACTTCATTTAACTTTAACAAAGTACGGCTTTTCTTTTGGATTACACTGTCTACGCAATTGCACCACACAGCATGGCTTTATTGTTTTACAGCAGCTGCCTTCTTATTGTCCAAATAGAAGTTATAAATAAATAATTACTTAACCGATTTAAAAATATTATTTAAGTGTGTATTTTATTAAGATAATCTTCTTGCGAAATAATTTTATAATGAAGTTTGGTCGCTTATGTCAAGGTTGAACTGCTTTAAAGGAAAATGTGCCGTTGTAATTCTTAATTAAAGTTCGCAGACGTAAAGCAGAAAGTGGATTCAACGAAAGCTGTGGCTTAATTATTTCACATACGTATATTTGCGTGCACAATTCGTTTGGCCTCAGATGGTTAATTCTTCATAATTATAATTGCCGCAATATTCTTGTCAGTATTTTTCTTTAATGCACTAAATATGGCTTCAATATATGGCTGGAAATCTGCTTCATTATTCAGAGTCCATTAATAATGCCATTAAGCAAATTGCTTTTCGGTTTTCCGAATTTTGTGTTGGGCTGCAGCACTCGTTTACATCTCATTACGCGCGATGCACATTCATTAATTTTCCATCGAATGGAACTCAGCTGAATCGGCTTTCCCTCAGTTTCCTGAGCTCATTAACTGCCTCGTAGTTTCGTTAAATTATGATTTCTGCCTTGCCCGCACACGTCACATGGCATTACAGACTCAAAAGATTTGTTTTTCCGGGAGACTCGCGGCGGAATAATATTTTCTTTCGATTAATTCGCAACTTGCATTTCAGATTCATTGAGGCGCGTTCGGGAGAATAATCATACTAAATACCGACAACTGCCGAGCGTCCGGCAAGCAATTAGCATATTTTCCGCGGCCCACTTTTGGGGCAGGGTGAAAATGCTCGTAAATGTCGAGTTCCGTGCGAAATCTTCACGCTTTCCACTTTTTAATGGCGGCACATTGTTCGAAAAACAAACACTAAACACCGCGTCACGGGGCATACCTCTCAGAATTCAGAATTCCGTGTAGATCCAAAGAGTTTTTGGCCCCCGTTGTTTGGCCACCTCAAAATTCTCAATAAATATGCGGCCGCATTTTTATTATTTCGTCTTTTTCACGCGATTTTATTACAATAAGTTTGGGTGTTTAGTTTGGCTGTTTACTGATCTCCGATAACCACACGCGTGCACAGTCAGCGACCATCTGTTGGCTTTCGGTGCGCATCGCCTGCTTATATAGCCTCGTCTCCGCCTGAATATCCGCCTGAATCTATGTTGGCCGGGATGCGCGTTGCGTATACGCCGCGTGGCACACAAGTCGCAACTGAAGGCGCCACATTTGGTCAACCGGCCGTGGGCCCTCGCTTCCAAGTTTGTTTTGGGCCGTCAGCTGTGCGGAGCTTTCTTATCACTGAACCCAAGGGGTGGAAAAGCTCTGCACACTGGGCTAAGGGCCGCCGGAAACGCGTACCGAGCTTCCTTATTGTCTACTTGGGAACTTGAATCATTCAAAATTTATTTTTTAGCAATCACCCGAGGCTGGAGGCTATCAGTCATGTTCATTCCCCGCCAAAAGTGACGCCAAAATGACGTAACACTCTAATATAATTCTTAAAGCACTTTGCTGTCTGCTGATAGCTTATCTCTTGAAGTGCTCGTCAGAAAGTAATTTGGTATGCAAACAATCTTAATCGCAAACAATCAGACACCACACTAAATTTTATAAAATCGCAGCCAAGATTGGGTAAATATAAATTGGTAATAAAATATCTTAAATGTCGATACAATTTGAAGTTTTTGGGACATACTTTATTTCCATTTTGGTATACTCATATATATTTCTATACCTCCTTAAGTTTAATTAAGCAGTTTTGGCCTACTGTAAGTCCAAGAGGCCCTTACCATCAAGAATAGCTAATAGCTTGGTTGCACTTTTGATCACAGCTTCACTGGCGTACACAGATTTCTGGTAACGAAGCCCTTCTTCAGTATCCTTATACAGACTTGAAAAGTCTGAGGTCCCTTCAGTGCCATTGTAAATCATACAGGGCTTGAACATGTGGGCCATCAGACCTGGAAAAAGATAATTTTTAAAGAAATGTGGTTTGCGGATTCACTCAGCTGTGCTTACTCATGAAACGGCGCCGTTCGAACTGAAGTTGGTACTCCTGAAGGGTGGGGAATGAGCCGTTGTACGAAAACTTTTCCAGGTTGGCTTTTAAAGCGTTGTAATGATGCTCAACAAGTTCCGGTTCCTTGTCACTAACTTCTTCCTTGAGAGAAGTGGTGAAGAAGTAGTGCAGGTCGATGGTGGGAGAGGTGCAGTTGCTGAATTGGAAATCTATGGCCACGACAGTCTGGGGAGTTCCCGCCTTATCGTACTGGAACATAATGTTGGTGGTCCAGCAGTCGCCATGGTTCAGCGTGATCAGATCACCTTCACCCACATCGTAGACCCGAGCTCCGTACTCCATGATGTGGGTATGCAACTTCTCGAGTTTGTCGCCATAGATTTGCTTCAAACTCGGTTGGCCATTTATGAACCGCAAAAAAGCCCTAAACAAACCCGTAAAGACCTCGCAATAGGCCTTCTTGTCCCGCGAAAAGAAGTGGGTAAAGAAGCACTGGGTCAGTAGCTCCGGATGGCGCTGTTGCAGGATTATGGATGCGGCATGGAACTTGGCCAGCATTTCCAGAGTCAGTTTGGTGTGAGCCAGATCCAACTGCTTTACTCGGTCCGCGTTGACGAACTTGTACGGCGCCAGATCCTCCAGAATCATGGTGCTGTACTCCCGATCCACGGTGATGGCATCTGCAGTTAGCTTTCCATCCAGACCAGCTTCCTGCAGCAGTTCCCTCAGCTTGGGCAGGACGAACTCGTACATGTCCATCTCGCGGGTGTAGAGTTCGTACTCGAAGAAGACCTCCGCCTGGGGAACGTCCTCAGGAAGGGCCTGCTTGACGATGAAGGTCTTCTTCTGAACGGATCCGTCGCCCAGCTGGTAGTCCACGTAGATACGGGTCATGACGCCCACGAAGTTCTCGCCTTTCCCAGTCGCCGGCTTGGCCCAGATCTTGAGTACCTTCAGCTGATCGTCCTTGCAGTAAGCCCTCAGCCTGGGCTGCAAATATTCCTCCGTTAGCCAGTTGGGCAGCATTGTTTACGTGTTGCGGTTCCTCGAACTTCTGACGTCTTAGCTCCGGGGCTCACGTTTATATTATGACGAAACGGGGATCTTATCGGAGACTATTATAGTGCAGCCGCGATAAGCTTTGTAATGGCAATTTGTGTGCTATCTATATTCTCGAGTGAATTCTCAGTTATACAAGGTCATTGTGAGATTGCAAATTAAACAAAGCCCAGTCACTACCCGAGGGTACTGCTTGGACGGTCGCCTAGTCATTCTAGTTCACGAACATTTTATTGTGTCGAACACAAAATCTACAATCTTGATTTTTGTTTGTTAAAAGAGCATGATAATGGGACTGCAGACATCGACTTCAAGGCTTGATAACGGTTTTAATACTAACGAGAACGGACGGTAGATTTGGCAAAACGAAATGTTAACATATAGAAATTCCTATTACTAGAATTTAGAAAATAAAAGATGAAGATGAAGAAGATAAAAAGGTTTAATTTATTTTTAGGTTTAAAAAAAAAAAGGGTTTGGTGTATTTGAAGTGTATAAAACAAACTTTAAAATCAGGGTACAGTTTTATCAAGATGCATAAAAAACGGATCTAAAGTCAAATTGAATTAGACACATTTTTGAGAATAAAAATGTATTATACATACTTAAACTATTACGAAATATTTAAATCGGATATAGCATTCGTATGGTGAATATATTATATTCAACTCTTGACGGCTAGTCTCATCGGCCTGTGGAGCAATATTTGGGATTTAAAAAGCTGACAGTTCAAAATTGCGTTCTGAATCAAGAAGTTGAGTCCTAGGTTGCGTGTTTCACAGTTGCCTTTTTAGGCGCTGATAAGAATGACAATAAACAAGAGCATGTTTTTTTGTTCGATAAGCTCAAGATCCGTCAGATTGTGGGGATCACTGATCTATTTTCTTCTAATGGAATTTTCCGTGAAAGGGGACACCAGATCGGTAACCGATATGCCGAGTAAGGCTTCCGATTTGAAAACTGCGAATTACCTTCAGTCCCATGCGAATCTAATGAAGTCCTACATGAACTTAAGCGTAGCACCCTGTGACGACTTCTACGAGTACGCCTGCGGAAACTATCAACACGTGAAACCGGATAGATATTCCTTTGAAAAGCGCACTACTTCGTCGGACATTGTCTACACATTATATGACATCACTGAACATCTTTTGGGCAGGTTAGATCTGGCGGAGACTCTCAATGTGTCCAGCGAGCTAGGGGTGGCCCAACTATTATACAAAGCCTGTCTGAGGGCTGATCTCTATCCGTTCCCAGCTGCCGATCCGAATTATTTTAGACTTATTCGGTCGATCTGAGGCTTTCCTGCCGTAGATGGTGCTGCCTGGAACGCTTCCAAGTTTAGCTGGTTCAACATGAGCGCCCACTTGACCAACTACGGGGCAAAAGGCTTAATTTTCGAAAATCTATCCGAAAGCTATCCCTTTAGGCCTTACTTTGAGCAGCCGGAACTGGGGTTTGACTCCTTCGTGCATACGGACAACATCAACAGCAACTCTTCACTCCTTTCAACTGACAGAGGCTAAAATTGCGGAAGTGATCGACGGGGTGTTTGCATTCTGGCGTGAGGCCCTGGTGGCTGCAGAAGAATTGGATGAATCGGAATGCCAAGACTTCGATGTTACTAACTACTACGAAATTGCCTTTAACAAGGGTTTACCCAGGGAGAGGTGCCATTCCTACTTTGTGGAGATAGGCAAGGTGTGTGGCCGTCATCCTGAGGCTGTGGCCAATTATCTGTCCATGAAACAGCTCTACCAATTTGATCCAAGGCTGAAGGCGTCCAAGTACCAAAGAGATTATTACGCATCGGCGCTGCTGACCTCCATGTGTTTCCTGTTCAATAAACTTTACATGGCGGTAAGTCTCAATGCGATTGTTATGGCCCTTTTAAAAATGATTACCTTACAGGAGTACTTTACTGAGAAGCAAAGGTTGGAAGTGTCTGAAATAGTACAGGAGCTGCGGAAAGGTCTGCGAAGGTCGCTCGAGGAAGCCGATTGGTTGGACTCGGATACTAGAGAAAAAGCCCTTTTCAAGGAGAAGGCCATACAGTACCGCATCGGCTCCTTGGAGGACAAATCGCTCACTGATCGCCTGATCCGGGAGATCGACCGCCTTGAAATGGACGACGATAGTTACACCGTGACCAATGTCAACCTGCATCGATTCATTGTCGACATTAATCGCTTCAGCACCCGACACTCTGAGGAACTACCTGAAGAGACCTTGCCACAGATGATGCTGGTGGGAATGCAGATCCAATCGTTTTATTATGTTTTGGAGAACACCATTTACATATTGGATGGCATTCTGCAACCACCAATTTACCACCACTCATGGCCGCTCGCCCTTAAATTTGGCACCTTGGGTTACGTCGTTGGCCACGAACTTACCCACGGTTTCGACACGTTGGGCTCCAGATTCGATGGAGATGGAAAATATCGGTCCTGGTGGTCAAACTAATCGAAGCTGGCTTTTGAAGATCGCTCCGAGTGCTTTGCGAATCAGTGCTGCCATCACACAGCTTGAAAAACAGGACAGATAAGCCAAAAAAAACAGGGAAAAAAAGGACAAAAACTTTTAAAAAAGGACAAAAAAAGGGACAAAAGTAAATGCGCCTCCATTTTTCTGTTTTACCAATGGGTTATATAATTACTTAATTTAAATGGATTTTATATTAAATTCAATTATGTAATGACCTACTGCGCCCGACTCACATCCTTCTTTGTTTGATCATTTTACCATGGTAAATTTTTGTGCGTATACGTAATAATCTAAAATTATTAAAATAATAAAAGCATTTCAAGTAACTATATTGGTAATACAAAAAAATTCAATTTCTGCGTCAAACCCGAATAAGAGTCGTTAAAATCTGAAATTTTTTTCTGACAAAAAAGCAAAGAGTAAAAATTAAGAAATTTTTAAAGTGTTTTCCTTTTTTTTTTGCTACAGAAAAAATCGTACTATAAAGAAAATCCATCGACTGCTTTACGTCTCTTTGATAATTTGTAAAAATAATTATTTTTTAAGTGCCGAACTGTAAGATTGATGGTTAAAAGGGCGTTTTAGCATATAAAAACAGGTTTACACTTTTTCGACTGGCAAAAATAACACTCAAAACCTAATTTTTGAAAAAAGGACAGATTTCCGGATAGGGGATGTTTCAAATTTTTTCCGGATAAACCCGTTAAAAAAAGGACAGATCTGTCCGGAAAGAGGACAAAATGGCAGCACTGTTGCGAATGCCTACAATAAGTACCTGATACCGGAGATCGATCGTCACATCGATGGCAATAAGACACTGGACGAGAATATAGCCGACAGCGGCGGATTGAGAAGGGTCATGGAGGCCTACCACAGCCACAAGAAGCAACTGCTGGGAAATCTTAGTCAGGAGAAGACCTGCGAGCAGTTGCCAGGACTCGACCTCTCGCCAGAGCAGCTCTTCTTCTTGGGCTTCGCTCAGTTATATTGCTCGGACTACAAGGAGGAGCAGTATTGGGATAAGCTGAAAAAAGACGAAAGCCACACTGTCGAAAAGTACCGTGTTCTGGGCACCCTGTCGAACAATGAGGACTTCTTCCAGGCCTTCAACTGTCCCGTGGGAAGTGACATGCGTCCTGCGGATGAAAGTTGTCGCCTTTGGTAATTTTAAATTATAAATTTAATCTACATTGCTTTCTAAAAACATTTATTTCTTGTATTTTATTTATATGTTATATTTTAAAGGCCTACGTAGTTGCCTTTACAGCAATCTAGCGCAGATAAATTCCCTATAAAATTAAGTCAATAAAATTTAAAAGTTAAAAAGAGAATGGTTTATACACTAAAATCAGATTGATTTTATTACTCAACCATATACAAAATTAACAGTCTTATTTTAATGGGCATCCAAAAAGCCCTTGGCATCAAGAATGGGTAGTATTGTGTCAATCCTTCTCTGAATCTCTTCACTTTCATACATGGAGTCCTGGAACTTGATTCCTTCTGCAGTATCCTGATAGAGATTTACGAACTCGCAGTCCTCGCATCCCGTGTATATCATAATTGGTTGAAATACGTTAGCAATAATTACACCTTTGAAGGAAAAATACTCGCATAAGTTTGGCTAAAAGTATGTATATATCGAAACTTACTCAAGAAACGACGCCTCTCGAATTGCAGCTGATACTCAAACAGACTGGGAAAGAGCCCTTTATAAGAAAGTGCTTCCAATGTGCTTTTTAAAGCATAGTAATGGTACTGCACCAGCTCCAGTTCCTTGGCCTTTACATCGACCTTCAGTGACGTACTGAAGAAATAGTGCAAATCGACCACCGGGGATGTTAGGGTACTGAACTGGAAGTCAATGGGCAGGACCGTGGTGGGATGGCCCTCATCATCGTACAGGTACATCACGTTGGTGGTCCAACAGTCGCCGTGAACTAATGTCTGCAGGTCCTTTTCACCCACGTCCACAGACCGGGCGGCGTAATCCATCAAGTTGGTTGTTATATGCTCCAACTTGTCTGCATAGCGGCTCTTTAAATTCGGCTTGCTCTTCACATACCTTATAAATGCCCTGAAAAGTCCCACGAAGACCTCCCCGTAACCCTTTTTGCCTCTAGAAAAGAAGTGCGATGCGTAGTTCCGACTGAGAAGATCCGGCTCGCGCTGGTTCAGGACAATGGCTGCGGCGTGGAACTTGGCCAGCATGTCCAAAACGAGCTTGGTGTGAACCATGTCCAGTTGCTTCACTCTGTCCGCATTCGTGTAGCGGAGGGGAGCCAGATCCTCCAGGATCATAATGGTGCGTTCTCGATCAACTATTATGGCCTCCGCCATCAGTTTTTCGTTGAAGTCAACCTCTTTCAGAATCTTGGCCATTTTGGGCAGGACAACGTCGTACATTTCCAGCTCCCTGTTGTAAACATCGTATTCCGCGAAGATATTCGCCTGGGGAGCATCCGAGGGAACGGCTTGTTTCAGGATGTAGGACTTACTTTGCTCAGTTCCATCTCCCTGCTCGAAGTCCACATAGATCCGGGTCATAACGCCCACGAAGTTCTCCCCTTTCTCCGTTGCCGGTTTGGCCCAGACCTTCTGGACTCGCAGCAGATCGTCCTTGTAAAAGGCCTGCAGGGCCTTCTGGATATACTCCTCCGTTAGCCAATCAGGCAGCATGGTGACTGTTCTTTGTGTACTGCGATCTCACGAATATGAGCTCACAGCATCTGGAACAACGTTTATATTCACACCAAACCTTCGTCTTATCAGTCAAGTCTGGTAATAGGTAAGATAAGCTACGTAACCCTATATGATGCCAGGCACAGCCAGGGCTAATTACTATATGGGCTCCTTTAAATCAGTTTTCTGCTCATCTGTACAAACGCGAGAGCAGCTTTTATTGCCAGAAACCGTGACGGGTAGATTTAATATTTCAAGTCATCCAGGTACCGTTTTAAATTTGCTCTGTCATCCTTCTCAGCCTCGATTTCTCGTCTGAAACGCTAAGTATATTTTAACTAATGTTTGGATACCTTTAAAAAGACGAAATATCGGATTTTCAACCTTGCTTGAGTCTCGTTGAATGGATGGATGTGCAATTGATTCAGATATCAACAAATTAAATAAATCCTGCACTACCATGTTTGGATTTGGAACATTTTTACCTGAACATTTATTTTCCACACTCGATTCTTAATGTTTGTGATATTTATTTTGCGTTAATTAACGGATTTCATTTCCAGTATTGTCCGATCACTTTTCGAAGTTGAGACGAGGGCAACTAGTCGTAAGGATGTACCTTAGATTTTAACAGACTGTAAAAGTGTACCGCTACCTAAACTACGATGAGGTCAAGTAAACCATTTTTCAATTATAAGTCCAATACATACACACAAAAAAAAAACTTGGTAAAATCAACTGTAATAATTGTCAAGCAGGCCCCAACCAGCAAAATTTTCAATTCTACTAAGTAAATAGCCATTTCACAACAACAAAATACACACAATTAGCAAAGACACAAACCCAAAGCAAAAACAAAATACACATAACCATTTTTGGTCAATTTTACCAAGCAAATTTTTTTGTGTGTACAAAATACCGTGGGAAGTGTTTGTTTCATTATCTTTATTATACAAACACTCAAGTCCAAAACAAATATGATTCGTCTGAATAAAAGGTCTTAAATATAATTCCATTCCCCCTTAATTTTAAAGATGAAGATTAACATTTATCAAATAAAAACACCTCTTAACGAGGTAAAAAACTAGTGACGATCGCACCTTCAACATACAAAAGTTCTGATATCTACATTTGTGACGAAAAATTATTACACTCGTCATTAAATAGACTAATATTTTCTCATTCGGCCCGCCCTAGCAAACTATTCCAGCCTTTTTCCCTTCACAGGCATTTTCTATTGCAGCGTGCCGAATGAGAAAATATTAGAAAGTCTATTTAATGACGAGTGTAATAATTTTTCGTCACAAATGTTGATATCAGAACTTTTGTATGTTGAAGGTGCGATCGTCACTAGTTTTTTACCTCGTTAAGAGGTGTTTTTATTTGATATCAGAAGTTTTTGTTTGTTTACTTTTGCTCTCATAGGTGCTAATATAAACATTTAAATTTAAATTGGTCATAAATCATAATTTTTAAACTATTGTATTTTAACGAATTCAGTTAAAAAGGCGTTGAAGTATTTCAAAATACCTTTTAAACGAGGTATAGCACATGTCTGTACCTTTAGTAGTGTAGAACTTACAAACTAACGAAATGTAGCTATTTTTAGCTTTTTCCCGCTAAAGTAGCGGCTTTTTCCAAAAGTCGTAGAACAAAAGATTCCTATATGGAACTCTTAAGTGCAAATTTACTGATTCCATGACCCTAAAATACAGTTCGGATACCCTCACACAAAATTCAATACTCAGGGAGCGTTAGTAGTTCGAGCTTGCAAAAGTGGCTATTTTCGTATAAAAATAACTTTTAAACGTGACTTTTTACAGTAATGTGTTATATACCAAAATTTAAGGAATCTCAAGGGCTATACATTTTAAAGTTTTAAAGAAAATCGTTAGAGCCGTTTCTGAGAAAAATAAAAAAAAGCTAAAACAAAGTTTTAAAAAATTGTCTTTTGTTCATATTTTTTTAACTATTACATTTAATAAAATTGCATATAGAAAGCGTTTATAGCATTTAAAAATACCTTTCAAACGAGATATAACACAAGTCTGTAGCTTTAGTAGTATAGAAGTTACGGCTTTCCGAATTTTAGCTACTTATAGCTGTTTTCCCGCTAAACTAGCGAGTTTTTCCAAAAGCAAAAAACAAAACAAAACAACAAAAAACAAAAGTTTTTTATATGTGATGAACGTCATATCAAATTTTCAAAACTTAGAAAACATGTTTTGGACAAACTGACAAACTGACAAACTGACAAACAGAATTAAATTTTCATTTTGGGAAGACGAAGAAAATCTTATTTTGGCTATAACTTTTGAACGGAGCGTCGGATTTTGACAAATGACCCCTCATTCGACGGGTATTTTCAAAAGGAATACAACTAAAACATTGAGAGGGGAGAACAAGTATCCCCACCAGCCCCAACAGCTCCAAATTTCGAAATATTAACTTTTTCACTTTCACGTCTCTCTCTCCCAAGCCAATTGATTTTCTTAGAGTCTTGGTATGCAATCCTGTTAGTTTTCGCAATACCTTTCGATAGGTGTATCATTCATTATGATCGGACCATCACAGTAGATTTTCATTTCTTCGTGTATATATAGTAGTCGCCTTCGCACACTCTCCTGGTGCGCTTCGTCACTACATGGACTGCCGTCCATACTGATTAACATTTATCGAGACGAGTACAGTAAACTTATGAGGTCTTTAACGTCATTTTAATTTCGAAGCACGAGACTGTGTCGTTGGCAACCAGAACTCTCTTGTTCAGAAAAACTAAAACAAGAGAGAACGCTATAGTCGGGTTGGTGTCCCGACTATCTAATACCCGTCACTCAGCTAAAGGGAGTGCCTCCCTCGCATGGATATATAAAATTGTTTTGACTACGCATAACTTTTAATTGAATAGTCCGATTTGAAAAATGTCTTCCACATTTCGATAGGTATAAATATACACAACAAAACATTTATACTTCTCGGAAATCTTTACAGATTTGGGCGCCAGACACATTTTAAATTGTTAGTGGCCGATTTTGGAGGGGCGTGGCCCTTGGCTGAAATAAACTTGCGCTGCATAGAAAGCGCAAGAATATGTGTGGGAAATCTCAACCTTCTAGCTTTTGTAGTTTCCGAGATCTCAGCGTTTATAGACGGACAGACAGACAGACAGACAGACAGACAGACAGACAGACAGACAGCAGACAGACAAACAGACGGACAGACCGACATGGCTAGATCAACTCGGCTAGTGACCCTGATCAAGAATATATATACTTTACGGGGTCGGAAATGCTTCCTTCTAGCTGTTACATACTTTTGCACGAATACAATATACCCTTTTACTCTACGAGTAACGGGTATAATTATGTCTCTCGTCGGAACTCTAGTCTTTGCCAATATACTATACAAAGTAAAGTACCTGCTAGGTAGCGAAAGTGCATGAGGCTTGCGCAAAATCGTTTAATGTTGCGTACAATTTGTAATAATTTAAAAATATAAAATAGGTTGCATCATATTTTAAAACAAGATATTTAGAGAAAAATTACAAAAAAGAAGGGAGAACTTTATAGTCGGATAAATAAAACTTTGATCGCGCATAACTTTTTAACGAATGGTCAGATTTGAATTTGATTTTTTTGGACATGGCTAGATTGATTCGGCTAGGGACCCTGATCAAAAATATATATTTACTTTATATGGTCGGAAATGCTTCATTCTAGCTGTTACATACTTTTGCACGAATACAATATACCCTCTCACTTTGCGGGTTACGTGTATAATAAAAATGCTACAATACAGAGTAAACGGGGCGTAAGCTCAACAACAGCTGTGCTACCACCCAAACGAGAGTTTTACAGACACAGCATTTTTTTACAAATGAAATCTCATCAATAAATAACAGCTGGGTTTTTTTTAAGTATTAAGTTATTTAAGTTATAAAATATGTAAAGTTAGGGGCTTTTCAAATACTACGTAATCACGTTTTTGGTGAGCTATATGACAAAATTTAAATTAAAATTCGGAAATATTTAAAAAGAGTCATATCCTAGAGTAGAAGAAAATAAAATACACACCAAAGAAACTGAAATTCATTTCCTATACTTTCCCATTTATTTTCCTATCGCTCTTATGGCAACTATATGATAAAGTCGTCCGATTATTTTAAAATTTAATTCGAAATTCAGAAATATCCCAAGAGTAGAAGGTAATATTTAAAAAAAACACCGAAGGTACACACAAAAAAAAACTTGGTAAAATCAACTGTAATAATTGTCAAACAGGCCCCAACCAGCAAAATTGTCAATTCTACTAAGTAAATAGTCATTTCACAACAAGAAAATACACACAATTAGCAAAGACACAAACCCAAAGCAAAAACAAAATACACGTAACAATTTTAATAGTTACGTAACTATCTTTGTTGGTAAATTTTACCAAGCAAATTTTTTTGTGTGTAGAATTTTTTTTTTGTCGTTCCTTCCCAGACAGACAGAAGGGCGGACAGACGAATGGACAGACGGACGGACAGACGGAAATGGCTAAATCAACTCGTCTGGTGATGCTGATCAAGAATATATATACTTTATGGGGCGGAATCCAGTGTATAAAATTTACGGCTACTGTGATATTTTTCATTAAATATTGGGTTTTTTCTTTTGCAAATGCGGAGGGTCAAACGTGGTTTTTAAGATATAGTTTCTTTTGCCATATTTCTTAGAATTCTTCCAAGATTGCGTCCCTCCCTACGATTTATCACTTTTTTTTGCCCATACAAATTGACCCAGTCTAATAGACAGCCCCTTATTGGTACATTATCTTTGCTTTAAGTTCTATTTGCATCAACATAAATTCAGCGCCCATTCGTATCACCTTTTTCAGCCCTATTAAAATTTCACGTACACATATCTGGCAGTTGTTGGAGCGGCTTAAAGTGCATCGTTTTGTTGGCTTCGCATTGTGCCATAAATGAGAGCAAACAGATGAATGTGCGCAGCGATATTTGCCCGGCTAAATCATTTACATGTGTAGTCAGGAGATAGCAGCCAGTTGGCCCGAACTGGACTTAAGTGGCATTAGCTGCTCCACTGTTGGCGAACTAAACCTATTGATTATGGGCCGTGCGTAGTTGGCTGGTTAAACAATTGGCATGGCTTCTTGGGAGTCCGAAGCAAATTGTACTGCAAACAAGGGCAGGCCTCTGTTAAGAAGCTGGTAAACATCGGGCCAAAAAGAGCCGCCGCTCATAATATTTCTGTTCTGCGCCAGCTGTTCGAGAGGGAAGAGTTTGCAGGGCGTGTCTGCTTGCGGCATAAACAAAATGCAAAAATAACAAATAAATCTATTTTGAAAGCCAATGTATTTTATTGTATTCGCCAATAGAGAAGATATTCCTGGAAATATATTTAACTAAGGACACGATAATTCTGAAAATGAAGATGACATTAATGTGTTGATGCTATATTTTACAAATAATGAGGGGAATGTGTTATTTCATTGGTCTTTACATGTAGTAATGATTAGAAAAAACAGATGATTTATTAAATGTGGGCCATCCGCTAAGGAATTTTTGGAATTCCAATTTATGGTTTTTTTTAGAATAATACTTTATGTTCTAGTATCCTTTAACCAGAATAATCAAAGCAATTCTTTCCTTGTTAAGTTATCCTTTATCCTTTTCTAAACAATCGTAGAGGTTCATTTTTAAACATGCTCGATGTCTGAATTACATTTTTCTTCACTTGTTTTATTAACATACATAAAGAAATTATAGAAAACCCTCAAGTACACACAAAAAAAAAACTTGGTAAAATCAACTGTAATAATTGTCAAACAGGCCCCAACCAGCAAAATTGTCAATTCTACTAAGTAAATTGTCATTTCACAACAACAAAATACACACAATTAGCAAAGACACAAACCCAAAGCAAAACAAAATACACGTAACTATTTTAATAGTTTGGTCAATTTTGTTTGTCAATCTTTGTTGGTCAATTTTACCAAGCAAATTTTTTTGTGTGTAGACCCAAGAAAGTTCTTCTTCTAAGGCCACGTCTGTGAGTTCTTAGTGCCCTCACACTCTCGGCACTTTTGATTGTTTTGTTCACAACTGATAATTTAAATCACCGACTGGATGTCACGGAAGTTGCTAGACTTTCTGGCACAATTCGTTGTGAAATTAATTTATCTCAAGCATACACACAAAAAAATTAGTTGGCCATCAGAACTACTTCAGCTTTGGTGTAAAGTAATTTAAAAATATTATGTCTGTCATATTATCTAAAATGAATTTGAATTCACTAGCGGAAAACATATATATATATACATACATATACATATATGTATACGAATTCTATGCACAATTAGATTTTCCTATTTCGGTCAGAGAGTTGGGCGTTAGTAAGCGTATTGATTCGACTAAATTGAAATGGCTTCTCGGAAGGCAAATCCCCTTTGTTTGGTAAACAAAGGCAATGGCACTGATAAGAACCCGGGTAAACACGAGGGCCAACGCCACTCTCACGTTTTTGTTTTCATTTTTATTCGGTTATTTGGCTAGTGGTGTCTGTGGAAAGTGCTTGTTTGCTTTCGTCATAAACAAATTGCTTTATGCTTATACGAGAACTGTTTGCCCTGGTAAATCCGAGGGCCAGCGGGGAAATTATCTTGGGCCAGATCTTTTAAATTTGTGACATCACATGCGCAGAATTTAAATAAAAGTTTATATTTGTGCATGTGCATTTTGTCAAAAAGAAATATTTATGTTTTTGTTTTGCGTTGTGTTGCCATTGCATCAATATTATTTTTAAACAAGAGAAAACGGAATAGTCGAGTGCCTCGACTATTAGATACCCCTTGCTCAACTAACAAACTTTAAAACAAGAATTAAAGCTTACTCTGTTTTTAAAATGGGACACTGTACCGTCTACCGGAAGGCAATGGTACCACTTGCCATGCATGTGCGCCTGACAGGTTTTAGCGTTTGAGTGGGCGCCAATCGGAAGGTATAGAACTTGCAAACTAGGAACACGTAGAATCTGCGTAATTAATCGCAGTCTTCTTGCTCTTGTAGTTTCCAGAGATCTTAGCGCTCATACAAACGAACGGACAGACGCACATGGCTAGATTGACTCGTCTGGTGATGTTGATCAAGAATATATATACTTTGTTTCTTTCTCCTTCACTGCGTTGCTAACTTCTGATGGATATCATTACACCATCTGCAAGGGTGTAAAAATACCTTTATTTTTATACGTCTTCTTGACTCTGAGATATTGCAGGTGACGAAATGGCACCAGTGTCGAAATGGCCCCACTCTCCCCTGCATATGCGACATCAGAAATAAATGTAAACTATGCAAAATTTTGGTTTGCACATTAAAAAAAAATAAATAGCTTTATTAGTTTACAAATAAATTACCTAGGCTAATTACAGCTAAACCGACGACGAGTAACAATTTACTAGGTTTCGATATTGCTGGCACAGGTCCGTTTGGTTCGTCAGACTCCCCTACTGTATCCGCTTGCTGATCGTGTCCAGATAGTTGTGGGCATTGTAGGCCTTACTCGTGGCCCAGTCCTTGCTGTAGCTATTGCCCCCGATCTCGTGCGGAGCCCCGGACCCCGAGCTGTAGGGGGAGTACGAGTTGGAGTAGCTGCTGCTGCCCACGAACTGCGAGTAGTCCGAGGGCTCCGATTCGTAGACGTGCGAGTGCGTCTGCACCAGGTGCGGGTGGATCTTGCACATGGTCTTGTACTTGAGGTAGTGGATCAGCCAGCCCACGCCGCCCACCAGCAGGACGTTCATGCCCAGCACGCCCATCAGCATGCTCACCAAGGTCATCTTCAGGTGGGCAATCTTCATCAGGATGACGAGGGGCAGGATGATGAGCCACTTCTTCTTCTTGCGCTTCAATCGGGCCTCTGGCGGGGACTTATCTGGTTTATATCCGCATGAAAGTTGCTAGTTTTTCGAGACCCACCTGATTCCTCCATGACCCTAGCTCCGCTGTCGCCATTCAGCTTCAGCTGCAGTCCGTGATTCCGTCCAAAGGTCTCCACCGCTCGCTTCAGGAACTTTAGAATCAGCGTCAGTTCGCTGTCACCTGCAAAGCAAACAAAGAAGCGGTTAATTAACCGCACGATAAATGCAGAGCTCGCGGCTATAATTCTTCAAATTAATTTACAGCCGGATGGATCGTAAACATCCGCAGGGGGGTATCCATTTGCTTCGGACGCTGACCAGGCGCAGGTGATCAATTAAAGTCCGCGGTTTGGCCTGAAAACAACTTTCGATTGCGCGGACCCACCTTCCAAGCTCTTGGCGTCGTTGAACACGACCACCTCGTCGGCGGGCTCTCCCAACTGGACCAATCTCAGCCAGCGGCCTTTGTCAGCCAGCCCGGTGTCGGCCAGATCGCGTCCGTACTCGCTGGGGAAGAAGCCGAGGCTGTTGGTGGCCAGCTTCCAGATGAGCTTGCTGGCCTTGTACTTGATGCAGGACACCAGGCTGCGGGTCTCGAAGCACTGCTTCTGGTTGCGCGAGATGAAGGGGTCGCTGCGGATGAGGCTGGATCCGGACCCGGTCGCTGATCTGGCCAGGGACTCGGCGAGGGAGACTGGTGGCTGCCGGGGAACATCCTCCTCCGCCTGGCAGTAGTGCAGCAGCACCAGCAGCAGCAGGGCCAGCACAATGCGACACAGCAGCATGTTCCTAGGCTGGATCTGGATTTCAATTTCGGTTTCGGTTTCGATATAACCGCGAGACGACTGGGATCACTGGGGCACCACCGCACGGCTGAATGGACGAGTCGCAAATGGCAACCGAGAGGTGCTGGCTACTCCTTTTATCGCGCAGCCGCAACCGCAGGCCAACTCTACTGGTTTTCGCAGCTAATGCTCATGTAGATGGAGCATGGAGCATGGAGTATGGGGCATGCACCGGAATAGCAATTCCTGCTGCCAATGCCACTGCCACTGCCACTGCCACTGCCGCTGAAACTTTCTGGGTCAGCGATCTGCTATACGCGATCTGCAATCTGTGATCAGCGTTCGATCGACAACAAATTGAATCGCATTGTCGCGGATTATGAAGCCAATGTCGAGCAGCAGGCAACCGCCAATTGACCGCCTTCCCGCTGCGTGTGAGTCGAGTCGCGTTTGAGTCCCAACGAATGCCCGGGCATCGAAAGTGAATCGCGATCCGTGCCTTGATACAATTACGATGGCCTGGCGCCAGTGGCACTGACTGCCAACGATGCCAATCAGAATAAGTGCAAATGTGCATTTATGCGAGTTTAAACTGGCCACCGAGTGGCTATTGCATCGTGCAATTTGCATACTTCAGCTGGCCGTTTGCCGTTTGCTGTTTTCTGCTTTCTGTGCCTGTGCCTGTGACTGGGAATGATTATTTGGAACTGGAGCTGGAGCTGTGACCGTCTTAATTACCAAGCCGCAGACGCGGGATGCGAAAGTTGTTGTTGCCGGAGAGATAGATGCATTGCCCCTGTTGCATTATTGACTAGTGAAAGTAACGATTGGCGCAGCTTGTCGACTCTTATGTTTTTCTGCTTTGCCCCACCGCTTGGAATTCTCGACTGACACCGCTCGCAATGGGATTGATTGGCCTGCAGATGGTAGCCCGCTGTCTGTGGTCGCACTTAATGAGAATGAGGTAATCGGCATCGGATGAAGTGGCTCCCGGCTGGCTCTGAGCTAGAATCCAGCGGCGAACACAGCTGCAAAGAAAGTTTTCGCTTTCCGATCGCCAATTTCTTGTAAACATTGTCTTTAAGCCAGCCTCGAAAATATTTGGCCGGCGAGCGTCTAACAATAATTACGAAAACCCACCCCATTTCCAGCCCGATTTGATGGCCACATATTAAATCAGGAGGCGCACGCAAACGTGCGAGTATGCCGAGGATTTCGGATTTTGCACCACAATCCGCAGGCCGAAACGACTTTTACGAGAAATTAACAAAGGCGGTGAGAGGCTGAAACCGAAACCGAATTGCCTGGGCAATTAAGCAAATCCGATGTGCCAAGACTTTTGGCCCATTTGGCGGCTCGAGCAGGCGGCCGGATGGGCTGATAATTGTCAAAGTGCCAGTGGCCAGTGGCCAACGAGAGCTGGACCCCAGACAGACCTGGGTCGTAAAGACGTGGTTATGGCCTTGACCAGTTTGATAGTGAAATTTCCGTTCAGCTGCATCTCTCTGACTGGCTTTATGCCAAAGTTTTAGTACCAGGCTCTCGAACAAATGCACCAAAAGCCTTGACTAGCCTAATTGTTCTTTATTGGGGTGCAGTTAATGTACCTGCAAAAAACCAGTTTTCTAACCTAGATATATTATCTTTCTTAAGTTGACTATTAAATTAAGAGCTAATAAAGATTAAAGTTTAGTATGTTATTAATATATATATTTTTTATTCCCGTTGCTCGTAGATTAAAAGGGTATATCGTATTCGTCGGAAAGTATGTAACAGGTAGAAGGAAGCAATTTCGACGCTATAAAGTATACATATATGTTCTTGATCAGGATCATTAGCCTAGTCGATCTATCCATGTCTGACTGTTCGTATGAACGCTGAGATCTAAACAATGTTTCAAAAAAAATTATGAACAAATAATGCATTTTCCGATACATGGCGCTACTTTAATAAACTGCCTTGCGGCTTGCATATCACCATCTCTCGCACATTCATTCAGCTGAGGACCGGGTATAGAGACTATAGCCGTCTCTCTTGATATTTATTAAATTAAATATTATTTATGTAAATGATTGCGACTTGTGTGTGCGAGTATCAATTAAAATTTAAGTACCAGGTTTATGTAGAGTAAAGGAAATCATGTCGAGACCTTGAAATAAGTCAAAAGCGAAACGGTTCCACTGTGTGCAACGTCTGGATCTCCGGCTTCCAGAATTTAAAGTGGCACCAGGACGTCCTTGCACAAGAAGCTCCACGTTAGCTGCGAAATGCAGGATAATCTGCTGCCCGTAGATAAAACCGGAAACCGCAAGTAGCAAAGGGGTCAACAACCTGCTGGCCGCAATAAACATTGTCCTGCAAAAGGTTTGCGCCGATTTCAATACACTTTTGTAACTAGTACATACATATGTACATTTAAATTTACTGAAATTTCCATATAAAATTCTCCCTTACATATCTTTTTTGGGGTATTTGTTTGGTTGTGGGCAAGACCGTATATAAGGTTGTGGGGGGTTTTGGGTTTTAGACCCCCTCTCTCAGCGGAAAAGTAGAAAAACACAGGCTGACTCGTGCGGCTGAAAATTGTGATCACGGAGTGGGGTGGTTGTTAAATGTAGCGTGTACTCGAACCAAAATATCTACATGTATATTGTATGTTGTATATTTTGTAACGTTTCAATGTCATATACCAGGTTTCACAGTGTATTTTTCCTATGCATACAGCAAAGGCGCCACCATGACAATTATGACCATGCTTACTTTTTGTTTCAAGCCTCTTCCGCTAGGGGGTGCTAAAAGCACATAAGATGTAGAATGTATGTAAAAATGATTAAATTGTGTATTAATTGTAGAATTGAGCTCCATCTACTTCGCTAAACAAGGAAACGTTTAAACTAAACCACCGGTAGACGTCGCTTAATACGCATTTTGTTTTATAATTCCCAACTGCTTTTTCAGCAATTTGTTCGTATATATACGGTAATTTTCGGAATTACAACGTTCTTGCTTCGGCAGAACATATACTAAAATTGGAACGATACAGAGAAGATTAGCATGGCCCCTGCGCAAGGATGACACGCAAAATCGTGAAGCGTTCCACATTTTTTTGCTTACCTGAACATAATTAATTACATCAAAATATGTTCTTGTTACTAGCTTAAGACTTAAGAGTTTAAGTTTTCTGCCGAACGCAAACACTAGGGGTAGGAATTTGCGGGAAGTGGAGCGGCAGTATAAGTTAAAATTATTTGTATATTTTGTTTTTAAGTTTTTGTTAAGATGAAGAAGATATCCCCAAAATATTTTCGCCCCGAAAGAAAATAAGAAAACGTATTATCACTATGGACGGCAGTCCATGTAGTGACGAAGCGCACCAGGAGAGTGTGCGAAGGCGACTACTATATATACACGAAGAAATGAAAATCTACTGTGATGGCCCGATCATAATGAATAATACACCTATCGAAAGGTATTGCGAAAACTAACAGGATTGCATACCAAGACTTTAAGAAAATCAATTGGCTTGGGAGAGAGAGCGGTGAAAGTGAAAAACTGAAAATTTCGAAATTTGGAGCTGTTGGGGCCGGTGGGGATAAATTCCCCCTCGCAATGTTTTAGTTGTATTCCTTTTGAAAATACCCGTCGAATGAGGGGTCATTTGTCAAAATCCTACTCTCCGTTCAAAAGTTATAGCCAAAATAAGATTTTCTTCTTCTTCCCAAAATGAAAATTTAATTCTGTTTGTCAGTTTGTCCACTTGTCCACTTGTCCACTTGTCCAAAATATGTTTTTTAAGTTCTGAAAATTTGATATGACGTTCATCACATCGATATAAAAAACTTTTGTTCTACCACTTTTGGAAAAACCCGCTAGTTTAGCGGGAAAACAACTATAAATAGCTAAAATTCGGAAAGCCGTAACTTCTATTCTACTAAAGCTACAGACTTGTGCTGCATCTCGTTTGAAAGGTATTTTTAAATGCTATAAACGCTATCTATATGCAATTTGTGTAAATGTAATAGTTAAAAAGATATGAACAAAAGAAAATTTGTTTAAACTTTTTTTTTAGCTTTTTTTTAATTTTCTCAAAAACGGCTCTAACGATTTTCCTTACAACTTTAAACTGTATAGCCCTTGAGATTCCTTAAATTTTGGTATATATCATGTTTATGTAAAAAATCGCGTTTAAAAGTTATTCAGAAACGAAAATACCCACTTTTGCCAGCTCAGAACAACTAACGCTCCCTGAGTATTGAATTTTGTGGGAGGGTATCCGAACTGTATTTTAGGGTCATGGAATCAGTAAATTTGCACTTAAGAGTTCCATATAGGATTCTTTTGTTCTACGACTTTTGGAAAAAGCCGCTACTTTAGCGGGAAAAAGCTAAAAATAGCTAAATTTCGTTAGTTTGTAAGTTCTACACTACTAAAGGTACAGACATGTGCTATACCTCGTTTAAAAGGTATTTTGAAATACTTCAACGCCTTTTTAACTTAATTTGTTAAAATACAATAGTTTAAAAATTATGATTGACCAATTTAAATTTAAATGTATATATTAGCTCCTATGAGAGCAAATGTAAACAAACAAAAACTTCTGATATCAAATAAAAACACCTCTTAACGAGGTAAAAAACTAGTGACGACCGCACCTTCAACATACAAAAGTTCTGATATCAACATTTGTGACGAAAAATTATTACACTCGTCATTAAATAGACTTTCTAATATTTTCTCATTCGGCACGCTGCAATAGAAAATGCCTGTGAAGGGAAAAAGGCTGGAATAGTTTGCTAGGGCGGGCCGAATGAGAAAATATTAGTCTATTTAATGACGAGTGTAATAATTTTTCGTCACAAATGTTGATATCAGAACTTTTGTATGTTGAAGGTGCGGTCGTCACTAGTTTTTTACCTCGTTAAGAGGTGTTTTTATTTGATTATTTTTACCCGCACAAAAAAAATCTATATGAAAGAGGGTAAGTTCTACGTAATTCATGGCAATAAAAAGTAGATTTGATTAATTTTGGACTAGAGGACTGAACACAGATTTCCAACCAAAAGCTTACTTAACATATAATCCGCGCCAGTGGCGGATCTAGGATTTTGTTGTGGGGGGTGATATCAGAACAAATTTTTTGTTGCATATTTTTTTAGTTCCAAAATTCCTTTAATTTTTCACCCGAGTGGGGGGTGATATATCACCCATATCACTCCCCGTGGATCCGCGCATGATCAGCGCGCTTTAAACCCCACGATTAGGCTTTTTTCTAAATTCAAGATGATTTCTTCTTATTTTCAAAGAAAAATGCCTGAAAGCAGAAAGTTTGTCAAAAAGTGGATATATCACCCATATCACTCCCCGTGGATCCGCGCATGATCAGCGCGCTTTAAACCCCACGATTAGGCTTTTTTCTAAAATGCAAGATGATTTCTTCTTATTTTCAAAGAAAAATGCCTGAAAGCAGAAAGTTTGTCAAAAAGTGGATAACAAGAGGCGATTTAATTTCTTAGAAAAATAATTCTGAAAAATATAATTTTTCTGAATTTTATCCACCAAATGAACCCAGTTTTCGTTTCATTTTAAAGTCAACAAATCACAATTTATCTTTTAAATACAGATCAATATGATTGGATAAGTAAGGGGTCATTTTCAACGTCAAACGTGCCAGGTAATTTAAGGTAAAATCTCAGAAATAAATAATTTTTTTTTGGGATTGATTACACAGGTCGACAAAATCAAGACTATTTCTTGGCCGAAGAATAAACGCTAACAAACCTGAAAGGATTTTAGCTTTAGATTACTACCTCATACTTGGAAACTTTCTATCACGTCGAAGTTTTGAGAAATCCGCGGTCAAAGTTTCAAATTTTCTATTTTAGACACTTTTTGCGGCTTAATAGACAATCGGATACAACTTTACAAAAATTAAAAATATTTCGCGCAGTGCGCTATTCTAGTCAAATTTGAATTCGTGAAATCCGCAAAGGTGTTAAGCTTTAGCTTAGCTTTGTTAGCTTGTTCTCTAGCTTTTTTTTATAAAATAAAGTATTATTTTATAATAAACATTTTATTTCTAGCGACATTTTTCGATTTAATTTTTTAAGCTAGTGTAATTAACAACTTAAACATAGATTTTAACAATGGTTTACGTTACTAAATAAGAACATTTTGATTACTTCTGGCGCGTAATAATCGCATTATCAGAGAGTTCTTGTCGAGCCCGTAGATGGAGGTCTGGCCACTGGACTCCGAAAATGACTCATCCGCCGCGTAGTCCGCGTTCAGGGTGGTTATGGCCAACTCGTCGGAGGCCACGGTGGTTGTCGGCTCGCTGCCGGTGGTTTGGCTATTAAACTCCTCGGCTTCAGTGGTCGAAGATGGTGTGGCTGCTGTGGAGCTTGAGTCCATACTGGTGGTTGGCGCCTCAGTTGTCTCCTCGGAGTCAGAGGTGGTGTCTTCACTTGCCGTTTCCGCTAAGGAAGAGGCAGTATTCAGACTGGTGGAGAATTCAGTGGTCGCGGGGTCGGTGGTGCTGGGCGGCGCAGTGGTGCTTGGCACAGGTGTGGTTGAGGTTGAAGTGGTGCCCTCTTTGGTGGTCAGCATGAGCAGCAATTCATGCTCAGCCTCTTCATACGCACTGGCGGCATTTCCTATATCCAAATTTAAGAGCTCCGTGGACGCCATGCTCAGAACGGCTGGTAGTTTGGGTGGTTCAGCCGTTGTGGTGGTGCTAGTTGATGTGGTGAAAGGTCTGGTGGTGCTTGATTCTCTTGGTGAGACAGTCCAGTAGTAAAAGGGGTACTTCTCGCTGTGCGCCTTCTTGAAGGATGTTGGCTTCTTGCCAAAGATCCCCTTGACATTATCGAGAGTTTTTCTCACCAGCCAGTTGTCATTGGAGGACCAGGAGGCATCTTCATCAGTATTGACGTGATTCGAGCCACTTGATCCACCGTAGCCCGCAAATCCCGCAGTGGCGAGCTCAATTTTCCGAATCTTGCGATTATTAACTTCTAGGGACGGTGAAGTGGCCTTGAAAGTTCTCTTCACCGGCTGCCGTTGTTTGTATGATGTCAACGGAGCCTTAGTGGTTGTGGTTCTTAGCACTGGCTTCTTAGCGCGAGTCTGTGCTGCGGTGGTCTTCTTCCCATATAAAACACGTGGCACAAAAGGTAAAGAACGGTTTCTCTCAGTGGAAATTCCCTTAGCAGCCACCCCGCTGTTTTTTGGGCACTCACCCCTATGGACTAGCTCCCAAACTGCAGGATAGATATTAACACGATGTTATTATATATTTTTTAAATTTGTAAATGGATCTTACCGCTGTTTGGATCCTTGCAGCGAACTCGCTCCAAGTAGCACTCGTTGATTATTGTGTGATTGATGCCGTTGCGGGTGGCACAAATGGGTTGATAAACTGTGGGACAAGGCTTGTCACAGCGACGACAGGTTCCATCATGGGAAATGGTCCATGCTGTTGAGGTTGAAACAGTCGTTAGAATATGTATTGGTAATTATATAGACCTAAGAGTTTACTTTTGTTACAACTGGGTTTTCTACGTCTCGCAGTTACTAATTGTGGAGCAAACTGGATCATCAGAAACGAAAATGTTTTAAAGGTCTTAGTTACTTCTTATCGAATAAAAATTCTTAATAATTTGGAGTTGCATTTAAAAAAGTGTACCATATTATCCTCAACAATTTCGTTTGCAAAGCTAATCTATGCCATTTAAGCTGCCTAACTATGCTAACTAATAATAAATACTGCATTGTCGTAACTTAAACCTGCATCCAATCAATATACCTTCCTATTAACTTGTTTCTAAGAAAACTGGAAAAGGTTCCTTTACCCTACATGGTATGTACATAATCCCCATGATAGACTTACCGTTTCCGACTTTTTGGCTGTACTCCATTAGTTCGCAGACATTGGAAAAGGTGCGGGTCTGGTTCTTGAAGCTGCCGCAAACGGGCTCGTTGCCGAAAACACACGTCTTCACGGGGACTCGACGCACCTTCGATTTCGGGGGGATGACCACGTAGGGCTTTCTGGCGGGCAGGGAGTAGCTCTTTTCCATGGCGCCAGTGTGGCTGATGAACTGCGTGTGAAAGGTCGAGGGGGCGTAGATCTGCACGGCGTCCTCCGGTATCTGGAAGTCTTCCGCTTGAGTGGTCAACCTTCTGCTGTGGTGGCTACGCTTCGTGCGTTCCGCATCCGACTTTGGCTTGGTCTTTGGCTTCTGCTTGCGACTGTGCTTCATCTTGGTGCTGTCCTCGCCACAAAGGCCCTCGGAAACGATGCGCCAGTCTGCGCACAGAAAAAAAATGCATATTTTGGTTATTCCCATCGTGTTTTATAACCTAATGGAGCGATAGGGGTAGAACTAAGAGCGCTCACTTCTCTGGGTCTTGATGTTCTCCGCGTTAACCAGACACTCGTTGGAGAAGGTGGACTTGACACCCGCATACATGGCGCAAACAGGACGGTAGATTTTGTTGCAGGGCACGGGCACAGGTTGTTTCTGACTGCTCAGGGGCACTGTGTTGGCCTTGGGGCACACGCCCCACTGATGGACCATCCAATCCGATCGGGAGAGGCAAGCGGCTCGCATCATCTCACAGCGACTTCTGAATGTCTTGCGTTGACCGCCCATCGAGCTGATCCCGCAAACCGGCTGATATCTTGAGTTACATTCAAACTCGCAGGTGGGAAAGCAAAAGCGGAGGGTCACGTCATCTACACAGGGATTATAATAAAAAGGAAAATATAACGAGTTGTAAGAAATTCATAATTCAGCTAGATTTGTAAGTCCTGTGCATGTGTCATGCTAGTGTTCTAGTTGGTTATCTGTCAGATAAAGTTAAAATGAAGTTAAATTGTTCGAAAATACCAATTCGCTTTCTCAATGTTATGTTAATACAAGGGAAGAGAAATCGTTAGAAGGTTACACAATTCAATGGAAAATTCGTTAGGACAAACCAAAAAAATAACTAATGTAATTAATAAATTTTCCTAAGCAAGTGTCTCATGGCATTATGATATTTATTTTACTCTGCTGTGTTCTGCAGAAATCTCACTAAAAGTAATACTCACACAGAGGACCATTCATGAGGTTGCCCCGCTGGGCTTTTCGCAGGTCACACTCGTTGGCGAACAAGAAGTACATTCCATTTTCCCGACTCTGGGCGCACGCTGGAGTATCGTCGTCGGAGCAGAGCATGCTCATCTGGTCCTGGCCAGCGGATGCCAGCAGCACTTGTAAAAATATTCCACAGCAGAGACCTATCACCTTTCGCCCAGCCATGTTCTTGCGCTTCTGAGACAGTTGCCAAACTCAATGCAATTCGAGATGCGTCCGGGCCTTTTATATGCCAGCGGTGGCACGCGTCGGGGTATGATACATAGCTGCCCGGTATGATTATATGATCGGAGCCGAAATTGAGCAGACATCACATTGCGCGATAAACACGCTTGGCATCGGCATTCTGCGAAATTTGTCACAGTCGATAGATGATTCGATTGTCCGGATTCGCTCTATTGATAGCGCCACCCGACGCGTCAATTAGATGCACCCAAAGTGCGGAGTGCAGACTCTGCGGCTACGTGATATTCGGTCGATTTCGGAAGAGCGGCGAGATAAGCCCAAAGTTGGCATTTGCATAGATTGTGCGGCGACCGCTTTACAGTTAGTATCTTTTCCGCTCGTCTCTAAGCTGATAATGCGCTCATCCTCTGCCATTTTCTGACATAAATATAAATAAATGTGTGGGGGAAATCGCACAGCTGAAATTCTTTTTCGGCCAACTCATGCCCAGCTGCCAGCACATTTCCCCGCCGACTGAATGAATTATAGTAACGTATGCTATCTGTGCAGGAAGTTGTCCGAGATGCGGTGGATAAGCTCCCGATGACTGCGACTCATTCAATAAAAAATTCAGAAAATTGTCACGCTCACTGTGTTCAGATAGTCCGAAATCGCAAGGGCTATTATTGGCTTAAGTAATCGCTTGGGTCTGACTTTAATCGTTGGAATTGTGTTTTGGCAAGATGTTTTTGATTTAATTTCTTAATTAGTCAGCTTAAAGATAGTTTCTGTAACTGTTCAAGCTATTTGGCAAGGTCAAGGTATAAATGTTACCGATCAACAAATCCAAATTTTGTTATTTTAAATATTTATTACTTAAATACTAATTTACAGCATTAATATAATAAAAAATATAAAATAAAGTCAATCGTGTAAATTCAATGACCCAGCTGTAAACCCATTCAATACATTTTTGTCCATTAATTATCAAAATGGACTGTAACATTTTAAGAGCAAGCATTCTGTTATTTATAGATTCTCGATTATGGCTGCCGAGAAGCAATTAGCCAACTACCGCTAACCAAAAATGTGGGTCAAGTAGGTCAAGTTCCGCCAGTGATGGGACCCATAATTGAAATATTATTTAATAACCGCTGCGGAACACTAGGCGCTGCTGGAGTCTCCGCTAATTTGAGTTCTTACGGTTCTCCAATCTCGGCTTCTAATCTGGCCAGGCGATCGGCCTGCTGTATTTCCCAGTTACCAGCTCCCAGTTACCAATTCCCAGTTCCCCAGTTGGCATCGCGTCACAGTCACGCGCAGGCGTCATGCAAACTTTGGCAGCTGCTGCTCCCCAGCTCTGCGGGCCAATTGCTAATTTCGCGAGGCGGCCAGAAACTTCTTCCCGGCTAATGACAAACAATTTGAGCCCCAGCAACGGGTGCTAAAATTACAAAATCTAATAACGCGCGGCGGAGGTGCAATCTGGCCGAAAGAAAGCCACGGCGGAGTTGCTGAATCGCGAAGAGAGCGCTGAATGAAGTGGCTCGAAGAGCAGGAGAGAGTCGAGGCGAGTCGAGATGAGTGGAGCGATCGCAACTCTGGCCCACCGTCTTGGCCAGAAAAAGTCGGGCCAGTCTAACGACGAGATCTGAAGCATAAAGACATGCGACGTCTCGGGTGCAACGGCCGTCAGAGTCATTGAACGCTTGCATTTTCCTGGCCAAAACGATAAAACGTGAAAACGCTAAAACACTAAACCGCTAAAACGCAGCTCCCAAAATCGAGACAGTGCCAGCCGAAAGTGGGCTTACTCAATAAACTTTGGTAATAAATTAATAAATAAGAGCCAGAATGGTGCTGGCCACGCCCCCTGTGAGTAAGGGCGGAAACGCGGGCGGCTGCTTCATGGACCAGTACCAGCAGTACTCGGCCCACTGTGAAACCGCGGACAGTGGCAATGGCAGTGACCTGGAGAGCACCGGGTTGCCCACCAAACCGGATGACAGCGAGGAGAGTGGCCCCTCCTCCCTGGGCAGCGACTCGATGCACGGGAGCAGCACGGAGTACGTGAGGCAGGCGGCCTCGCAGCCCAGTGGCCAGCGGCAGCGGCAGAAGTCCCTGAGGGTCCTGGGAGCCCTGCTGCCCGACAGCCTGCTCAGGGACATTCGCGATCGCAGGAGCACCGAGTACGTGGTGACATTCTCGCAGCCGGAGGACGAAAACAAGATCCAGACCCCGGACAAGACCGCCGAGAAACCCAGTGCCTTTCGCCTGGCCCGCGAATCGCTGAGCGAGGAGAAAATCGAGGAGCTGCGGGCCGCCGTGGAGCGGGCCAACTTTGTGCAAACCGGTGAGGAGACGCTGGACAGCATCGACGCCACCTCACAGTCTCTGCCAGGCAGCAGCAACATCGGCGGACACCGCGGCAGCATCAACTACAAGTATGCAGACGACCAATACTACAGCTTTCACATCAACGAGCACGAGAACTTCGGCGGGTTCTCGGGAAACGGAGACGAGGCGGACAGCTCAAGGGGAGCGGGCTCGGGGACGGGGTCCGAGAGCGGGATCCTAACGGAGCAGCAAGACCTCTTCGCCGGCTACCGGGACGTGCGGTGTGGGCCCAGTTCCACCCAGTCCACCATCCGCTCTGCCAAGGGGACGGTGCGGGGCGTCAAGAATCGTGTGCGCAATGGAATAGCCACGTTCTTGCAGCTCCACCAGCAGCCCAATGCCAAGGTGAGTCTCGGGATCAAGATGGGATGGGATCGTATGGGTAGTCCATGGATCAGGTCGGAGACGAGCCATTGCCAATCAGCTGCATACTTCTTTTACCGGTTTTAATAATTACTGTCTTGAACCTATTTTCATGCCATCGCTACGCACTGCAACCATACATACTTTACACCTCTGGTGACTTGAATAATCTTGGTAACTTCCAGACTAAAAATTTGTATGCAGATTGGGATAAAATTTCATATGAAAAATGTATTATTGACGTTTTTTTTATATAAACAAATATTTTTAAAAGCACTCGAATTTTTTATTTTTTAAGTTTCGGTAAAAACGTTTTAGAATTCAAAATTTTACCAAAACACATATAACAAACTGGATAATTTAAAAATGTTCCAAAGATAACACGATCTCTATAATTTCAACCGCAGCTGTAGTTATGAGTTTCGATATGAATATTCAGTTATCGACGGTTATTCAGTTCCCACGCTGCTGGGCGTCGGCAGAGGCGTCCAGTGGCGTTGAGTCACCTGCTCGCCCAAATTATGCAATTGGCTCGGTGCGAGCATCTTGCCAATTGTCTGCATCTCAGCATTTCAGCGGGCCGAAATGGAGAAAGTGCTGGCCAACAATTGAGGCGGCCGATGTGTGGCTGCGGCCTTTCAATATCTTTCACATTTCGTATTTCGTATTTTGTATTGCCCGTAATCTAATGAACTGCCGGTGGTAGTGGTTCCCCGTCCCCTCGAAAGCCCCACCGCCTGGGAAACCAGCTGCGCTTTCAGCGTCTTCGCCGGTTTCTTCTTCAATTATAATGGAAACCGTTAAGTGGCTTATTTTGTCTCCGCCGATGTCGTTTTGTATGCGCTTAGCGCGCGTTTACAACTTGCCCAGATAGCCAGCTATCTCCCTGGCCAAATTCGGGTTTGTCTTCGGCCTCTCGTTCCCAGAGACATGTAGTTTGGGTGCGGGATTGACACGACTAATCGCAGTTAATGTCGGGCAGTTGGGGAGCTGGAAAACAAATAAAAAGAACAGCTAATTCCGCGGAGACAATGGGGCTGAGGGGAATTGTCATCGTAAAAGCGACGTTGGTAATGGTTTCTTTTTCCGAGGCGTGCTCTCGGAACTAGTTTTGCATAAAACGATCTTTGATTGAGGGGCTAATTAATTCACTTGATAATTCAATATCTCCCACTGATTAATGATCATTGACTTAAAGAGCTTTCTAGCATTTTGATTTAAAGTTTTCGCTTTGGAATTTATTAGAAATCAATCCTCCGATTTAATAGTGATATTTCCAGCAGTGACACTATGCTCATTTAGAATTCCACCTTTAAAGTGTTTAAAATAAGTTAGATAATCTCGGTATTAAATCTGAAATAAATCTGGGAAATGTCAGGGTATAAATTCTACTGAACAGCTTTCTAGTTTCTAGTAACTTAGTGTCTGACCATCAACCATAATATGGCATTAAATAAATCGCTGATCCTCAAGCGTTAATGTATTTTCATGCCTGATGTTGATTTATAATCATTGGCCTGCAGACCTCTCTAGCATTTCGATTACGTCTTCAGAGTCTGTATCAGAAATCAAACAAATTTCGTGTTTTAATGTCGGAAATTATCTGAATTGCCGCCATTAGGAATTCCCCTTCCCAAATCGCAGCTCATATTAGGGTTTCGAAGTAGTTGTGATTGATTTCGAATCATTCCACTTTGAACGCAATTTAGGATCGGAAACCTGTCCCCATTTGATTATTCCTCAATCGTTTTTCCGCCCATTTACGCGCTTTTCTCCCGCTTTGCCTTTATCAAGCGTGACGGGAGTAGAAATCTCTTCTACTCCATATACTTCCACTTCTGGTTCGGTGCGATATTGTTTTTATGCTTTTTAGCTTTTATTCGAGATTTCCCTTTATCTAATTTAATGAGCAGATTTTAGATCACATTAATTGCTTTGTTTTGCGTCTCGGCCTGCGACTCTCGTGCTTTTCACTTTCTGAACCCGAACCTGATGAATTGATGGACTGATAGCTGGCTCGCCGGACTAGAAACAACGGCGGATCAGCATAGCTTAAGTGGATGCTAACTGAATAGAAATGTTTTATGGCCTTATAGCGGCTCGCATGCAAATGAGAGTTTCGCAGTTTCGGGGAGGAGGAAGCATTCGAGACCCGACCCACAATGAGGAAAGTGAGATGCTGAAGCTGAGGCTGCTAATTACAATGCAGCCGGTATGCAGAGCAGTAAAAATCGAAAGTGAATAGGCGGGCTGGCATTGTCTTGGCCTTTACTGCTTTTCGTGTGCTTCAACCCTTTTCAGCGCATTGCTGCAAGCCATAATTAGAGCGCTCACCGAATTTACGATGGCCGATTGCCCACAAATTGGAGGTGCTGGCCACAAATCACAAATCACCAGTTCAAATGTTCAGTTCGGAAACACACAAATCACTTTGTCACCTTCGAGAAGCATCAGCAATATCTGCTGGCTCGGCATTAGCCTCCATCTCGGTGATGTTGCTGTTGCTGTTGCCCAACTCTTCGATTGCCAATCACTCCACCGCTGGCTCTTGGCCATACAAGTGACCTGCTTTCTCTTTTGTCCACTTATATGTAGCAGTTGCTGCTGCGCCGTTGGTGTTGCTGCTGAGCTGCTGCTTGTGTTGCTGCTCGCGTTCATGCTGCTGCTGTGACAAAAGTCGCGCTGAGGTCAACCGTGCAAATCACGTGTGGTAATTGTTAATTGCCGCCGTGTTTATGTTTTCGGCAATGCAAATTATCAGCTCGAGCTGACATTGAACCACTGACGGATGAGAGGCCACCAGCACCACCACCACCGCTTGGTGGTTTATTAGCCCGGCTCCGGGGCTTTTCTTTTCGCCAGAAGACAGTCGGTGGAATTGAATTGGAAAAACAGCTCTGCAACGTTCACTTAGAGCTGAAGTTGACTTTCCATTTGACCGCAGCTCGCTTGTTGTTTGTTTGCCTGCCAGCTTGTTTATTGTCGATTTGGTTCGTGCTGCGTGGCTTTGAACTTTTTCCTCAGTTTTGTCGTGAAATATTTTTCTCGCTTTTGTCGTTTATCGTTGACAACGGCACTTGCAGCTGCATCTCTTTCGGAATGCTGTGTCTCTGTCTCTGTGCATTTTCCATTTCCCTGCCTCCGCCAGCTTATTAATTTTCAGTCTTTCTATGTAAATTCTCGTCTTACCGGTTCCAAGAGGCTTCAATCCCGTACACAGAGAATATTTAAATAATCACCCATTTTAATTTTACTTATGTTCATGATATGGCTATCGGAGTAATTGGCTGTCAATAGCAGCTTGCAGCTTGGTTCAATTTTATTTCTTCGTCAAACTAAAACGAAATAAATTAATTTTATTACGAAATTTTCATATTTTATATGACAAGCTGCGAGTCATTGTTTTTAATTAGTTGTGTATTTGCAAACTAAATAATTCAACGGGCTGACCTTTTAATGAAATGCTAATTTTATAAGAAGGTTAGGAATATTAAACATCCAAATTGATTCAGTAGTACTAAATCAGTACTCTCAACTTTTTAAAAGCGATTTCAGCATAGATCGCCACTTTTTGTTTCTGTGTACAAAATGCATCTCCACGGTTCATTGATACCTGAGACGTGTTGCAGGTGGGGGAACCGGGATCAGATCGCATTGGCTCGGTTCGGCTTGGTTCATTAGCCAAAGCAGACGCCACCAAAGTTGGCCAACTAACGGAAATGTTAATTGTCAAATGAAATGAGCGAGCCCCAGCTGCGAACCGGTTCGATCTTACAAAATAAGACATCATAAATTGTCGGGAAAGCATTCCAGGTTTCCATTGTGCCGCCATCTAACTTCGGACTCTGGTTGTTGGCGACGTCGATTGCCTAGCAGTTTTCCTATTATTGCTTAATTGTATTGATTAATAGGATTTTGAGTGACATGCAGAGTTGCCTGGTTACGTGACTCCGAGCTGCGAGCTAATGAACTCGAAGGCTGGCAGAGAGAGGCTTTGGCTTTCCACCAGCCGCAGATCGAGCTGCAATTTCCAACCAGTTTTCAGCTCCGCTCCCGAATTCCAATTCCCCTTGCGGGCTTGTGGCCAAGACCTGATTCTAAGGAACAATAAGGAAAAACAACGGACTTTCCAATCTCAATTGAAATTAGGGAAATTTTCGGTCATTTATTTTGCTCAAAATATTTCCCAACGGGTTTTACACCATTTACTTAGTAATATTAAAGCTGTAAGGTCAAATAATAAAGTTAACTTGGATATAAAAACAAAATAATGAAATAATTAAAGTAATGGGTTTATTGCCTTGATTAATTTTATTTAAATAAAATTTAAAGAGTTTTAAAATTTTAATAAATATCATATTGATATCATTATATCATATTTGTAGACTAATTTTTGAAACCCTGGATGTTGCTTTTATATTGAAGTGAATTTGTAAAAAGAGAAATATCGGTGGCTATAATTTGAGCAATCACAAAACACTAAAAATAGAATTTAAATGCGTTGATTAACTGTAGGTACACAAAGCAAACTCAACCGTAAAATAGTGTGTTTCGAATGCTGAAATCTCTATTGACTCAGTGTTACGCCTGCATAGCGGCTTCCGCATCGCCTTTGTCTGCGGTTGGCCTTCATCCTCAGCCGGTACAGACCCAATTTGGCACTGCCATTCTTGCCTGACCATGTCAGACTTCGAAATCCGCGCTCTGTGGCGAATGCGCGCCAATTTCCAGTTTTCGGTGGCCTGCTTTTCAGCTTTTCAGCATTTCAGCCAGCCGCCGCTGCCGTCAAACCAGAACTCGAACTAATCTCTGATCTGCTTCTCCCCCTTCTCTTCCCGCAGAATTTCAAGGAGAAAGACCTCGGGAAGGTGGTCCTGTACACCACCAGCATGGGCATCATCCGGGAGACCTACACCAAGTGTGCCAACGTGAAGCAGATCCTGCGCACCCTGCTGGTGAAGTTCGAGGAGCGGGACGTCTTCATGAGCGTGGAGTACCAGGCGGAGATGCGCCAGCGGATGCAGAGCGGCCAGGTGCGGGTGCCCCAGCTCTACGTGGAGGGCCAGCACATCGGGGACGCCGAGACCGTGGAGCGGCTGAACGAGTCCGGCGAGCTGCGGCAGCTGCTCAAGCCCTACAAGTCGATGGCCAGCACCTACACCTGCCAGACCTGCGGAGGCTACCGCCTACTGCCCTGCCCCTCCTGCAACGGGTCCAAGAAGTCCGTGCACCGCAACCACTTTACGGCCGAGTTCGTCGCCCTCAAGTGCATGAACTGCGACGAGGTGGGCCTGGTCAAGTGCCACAGCTGTTGAGGCCCAGCCGCAGTCCCAGCCCCAGTAGTCGTAAGCCCAGTTAGTCTTAGCCACCCAAGTCCCGCATTCGGAATATCCTAGGCCTAAGTAGTAAATAGCTAAAACGTACAAGGGATTGTGTTTTCATTGGCGGGCGGGATATCTCGGGATGTTTTAAAATTAGAACATTTACTCTTAAATGCAAAAGGTCTTCTTTTTCAATCCACATTTTTTTGTGTATTCGGTTTCGATATTATTTTTATAAGCCTGGTAGTTAAACAGCAGAAGGACACTGTGCTATTGTTTGTGGGATGGGAAAATATGGGTTAAGTAAACTACTAATAACTTTATTCATTAGTTAATCATTTTAGAGGCATTTATTTTTCTGTTCATAACCACTACTTTCATAATAGAGCTTACAAAATATTAAATTTAGTTATTTAGCTTGATTCGTCTTTCTTTATGTATTTCGGCTTTGCAAATTGTATAAAATATAAGTGTAATAAATGTATGCCCCCATAAGTAGTCGAGGGTACTTAAACAAACTTTATTGTTCGATTCTTATAGATTAAAAAAACCCAATAAGAATATGAAGCCTTGTAAGTAATTATGTATAAGTCCTAACTTTAAGCTAGTGAAACTAAGAATTCAGCAATAAATATAAACTCAACGAAGAATGCACTATGTCTTCATCTGTGCCTTGCCGGGATAATAAATCTTCTGGGTGGTTTAAGTATCGGTCGGACCAATAAAACATTTCACCAAGAATAGACCAATATTTGCCTGCAAATAAATAGTTGGCCTGAAGTGCAGAGCATACATTTCAGATGCAATTAAACCAGTTCAGCGCTTTAATTTTTCATTAATTTGCAATTGAACCGCAAAGTATGCAAAGCCTAATACCGCTTTTGCGTTCAATTAAATGCTGCAGGCTCTTGAATGCTTGGTGGGGCTTAAAATTAATTTAGATATTTGTTGATTGCGTTGCATACTTTTTGGCCGGCGTGCACTAGGGTTGCCAGCACACATTAAAGAGCAGAACTCAGCCCCCGGTGATTATGCCTGTTATGATCGCTCGCCCAAAATGACCTTTTATTACCACATCACCCGGACCATTGCTCTTCTGCCTTCTGTGGAAGTGACTTACCGCCCAGCTAAAGCAAAGGAGCAGCCAAAACTATGCCACCGCAGAGCTGGCCAAGACAAAGAGTATATATTTCAGGAAATAGTTAAATGTTATAGAGGGGCAGGGGCCTACATCTACATGCACATGGACGCTGTAGCAATGATTGCTTTCCACTTCGGTCCTCAGCCTCCGGCTCATGCATCTATTCTGCCGAAACTGCACTGGGGAAAATTCCACTTAGGTTCTTAATGTTTAAAAAAGTAAATAATAGACACAAGGAATTTTTAATCTCATCAAAAACCAACATTGCCTAACATAATGTTAATGAGTATTTGTATTGCGTAATTATATTAAATCGAGCACATTAACATTAATCTCAATTTAAAGTGGTCGATTAGGGAGTTTCTATTATACTGTTTAATACCTTTAAACCAATTAACAAGAAAATTTTAATAAGCCAAATTTGTAAAAAATCACAATTAATCTATTTAAAGTTTTGGAAATGATTAAACAAAAGTTGAAAATGTGTTCGCCATTTTCTAGTTTAATATTTATAATTAACTCACTAACATACATTTATTTATTTTAGTTACAGCTAAGAAAAACGTTTAAGTAAGCAGGTACCATAAATTTGTTGATATACAAAAATCCGCCCGTCTCACTACAATCTTTTTATGTTTATATGTTACTTGACGATTTTTATTCAAGTGTATCTTCTGGCTCGGGGCAATTATGTAAACCGGCTTTTCTCTCTTTGCACCACACCGACCATGCAATTTTCTCGCGCCATTTAATTTTTGTCGGCCTGCTCCTGGTCGAGCTGGGAAAAGCTAGTGGAAAGCGGGGCAGGACCGTCTGCGTACTGGCCTTTCTGCCAGTTAGCCAGCCATTCGGCATTGCCATTTGCTTTTGGTGTCTTTGTTAGTTATTGTTATGGCCCTTTTTAATGTTATTTTCCACTTGGCTCACACTTTTGTTAACATGCCGCCCCCGAACGCACAACCGGCAACCCGCTGACCAACCGAACTGACCGAAGGAAACCCTTTCTTGATGCGAGTGGTAGTGGGTGGGATTGTTGTGTTTCCGCCACCCGAAAGCCCCCGGATCGTTAAATTCACAGGCGGCTACATTGTAATTACCGAGCGGAGCCACCGTCGAGCTGCTGGCCCAAATCCTCGACCAAGGCGGCTTGATTTATGGGCCAACAGCGGCGTCGTCGTACGCAATTTTTCATAAACAATTTGGCACAGTAACACACACAGAATATTCGGGGATTGGAGAGGGTTGGGCTGGCTGAGAGTGCGGGGCCCCCGAAAATATTAAAATATATATTGTAAATGCCGGTAATGCTGACAAACGGTGGCGACGTCATGTGAGTACCGACTGGTGGCCAAAAGCAGCGGGATGGCAGTGGCAGTCGATTCGCAGGACTCTGGTTTCGAGTCGGGATCCGCTGCGCCACATTATGGCAGCTGGTCGCCTGCCAGTTAAGCTGGAGCCAGAACTGAACAGTGCACTGAACAAAATCGGCACATGTAAAAGCAGATACTCTGTATTCAATCGACATAGTATTGAATAAATTGGATAAGTTTAAGCTTTTGGACCGGGCAAGGAATCTTTAAATATAAATTTTAAAACCTACTTAAAACTTATCATGAATATAAGAGCCGAACTTCAAAAGAAGTCCATCTAAAAGCAAAAAATAATAGCAAGTAACCTATAAAAAGTATCGTAGATTTTCAATAAAAAGTTAATAATTTTTTCTGAAAATGAAAAGATGTAGTCATATTTTTCGAGTGCATAGAAACACCACTCCAAACAGAACCCGCTTCTGGATGGCGCTGCCTTTGTTAAACTTTATCCGCGGTAATTAGTTTATGCGCGCAATTTCATGTGCAATTTGGTCATTAAATATTTTTTGCGCCTGGCGAGGGTGGTGGTCGGGCATTATTATTTTGCCATATTTCGCCAGGCTCCGGTGTCTGGGGCCGGGGAATACGAGTATCTAAAAGCGATACACACAGCCGGGAGCAGGTGGTTCGGAGCTCTGGCTCACTATAAATTAGTGTGTCAAGCGGACGGCTGCATCGCTCCCAATTGGCGACAAATAAAATTAGCCACACATTATGTTTTGGCAAAAACTTTCAAATTGTTTTGGCCACCGCTCCCGCAGCTCATTACGTTGTTGTTTGGCGCCGTTGTTTTATTTTCCGAGCTGTCCTGTCCCGTTTCTGTTCTGCTCTGCTCTGTACTGTTCTGTTCCCGGCGAATCGGGTCGAATCGGGATGGCCACAAATCACGGGCAGCTACTCAACGGATTATTAAGTGAAAATTATGGCACTCCGAAGACTCATAAAGCATTTACAATGCCTCGACCGGGGCAGCGGCGGTTAGTTACATTTTTTATTGTCACTGGGCTCGGGTGTTGCCGTAACCCATTGCCGTCTGTCTGCCATAAAACTAGCGTGGCTCACATTACGGGCCGGTCTAAGTCGCAGTCCCAAGATTTGTACACGGAACCCAGAAAAATACCAACTTGCCGCTCCGCGCTGAGTGTGTTCATAAGTTTTAATCTGCCTCCGTTACAATCAGCTGGATTGTGCAGTTTCTGGCAGCAAAGAAGTGTATAATACTGTTCTTGTTGCTCTAAATTCTAAAAATCTAAAAATATAAATAGTTTGCTAAGAAACTAGCATTCAAAAAATATAACTTATTTTAGTTCTATGGAAAACAGGTTTGGCTGATATTTTCCCTTATTTTTTGAAAATTTTACAAGTATTTTTGAAACCATTTTTAATAAATAATTGTAAAATGAATAAAAATTAAAAAAAAACGAATATTTCGAACTAGTTCCGAGACCGTACGGCTTTACCCTTGAGAAAATCTGTCTTACTAGCCAAATGTTTACAAGAATTGTAGGCTCACCGCGAAGTGAAGAAGCTTTTCTCAAAGTTCTCTAAAAAAAAGGAAAGTGCATTACAATTCAAGAGGGGCGCACTCTGAGCAGTAAATAAAATAAAAAGGCAAAGTGCGGCCAAGAGATAGCAAAAGTAAGCAAAGAATTGATTAAAATTTATGCTCCCCACTCACACGCTCACTTCCACACCCGAGGACAGGCGGCACATGTGCTCTATAAAGATATATCTCCCAGACAGCCATTCGCCTTTATCGAATTCCCGCCCTGCGCCTGGTGGGATGCATTGGTCCGCGCCGAACAACATTTTGATTAAATTATTTTAATGGCAAGTGCGAGATATATGGTAAATATATGCGCCGGATCTATCGCCGGCTCATCTTGCGCCTCCGGAGCAGCAGCCAATTAATTCAGCTGCGAACTATTAAAGCACACACTGGGCGCTCATAAATCGAGGCATGAGTTGGGCTGGGGTGAGGTGGAGTGGGAAGCGCCACCAGCAGGAAAAACAGAATCGGGACCAGATTCACATTCAGATTCAGAGGGTCCTGGCGCAGCAGGAGCTGGAGTATCAGCCGAGAACATCATGAACCAATTCTCCGGAGTGAGCTGCAAATGAATGAATATTTCATATACTGTGTTTATACGATGCCGAATTCACGCTATCATTTCACGCTTTCGGCCGATTCGTGCTTGTATAAACGCCATTTCGTGAATTCGGCAACACACGAAAGTTGACTATGATTTCAGACCAAAAGCGTGATTTGGTGATAAGCAGATCTGGTAACTCTTCAAAAAATTATCGGCGTTGCCACATCGCTAGAAATTGAAGGCCCTTCATAGGCTATTTCTCTAGAAATGATCATCTATTTTTACCGGTCCGGCATCCCTATCAGCTTGGAGTGAATAAAAGCATGAATTCTCGGCTGTCGTATATACTGTGTTTATACGATGCCGAATTCGCGCTATCATTTCACGCTTTCGTCCGATTCGTGCTTGTATAAACGCCATTTCGTGAATTCGGCAACACACGAAAGTTGACTATGATTTCAGCCCAAAAGCGTGATTTGGTGATAAGCAATCTGGTAACTCTGTAAAAAACGATCGACGTTGCCAGATCGCTAGAAATTGATGGCCTTTTATAGGCTATTTCTCTAATCAGTGGTATTAAAAATTAGATATTTTAACCGGTCCGGCATCCCTATCAGCTGAGAGTGAATAAAAGCATGAATTCTCGGCTGTCGTATAAACAGGGGTTATTTCTAGATCGCGCTTTTAAGAAATCGTGATTGCCATCGTATAAACATAGTAATAGACGCGAATCCGAATAGATGCAGAGATGCAAAGGCGCTGCCGACGCGGTATTAGCTAAGCAAGCAGCTGATGGACGGCTCGGGATTCGCCACGGATTCCAAAGAGTCACTGAACTGGGAGAAAAAGTAGGGTAAAGTAAGGAATATCCATCTGCACTCTGGACTAAGAAGATGATACCACAAAAGTCTCTTGTAACTACTAGTCAGTCTGTGTACAATTATTCGTAAAACATTAAATACAATTCCAAAATGGTGTTTACCTCTCAATGGCTGAATGTAGATAATAGTTGTGTGCGAAATTTATAGTATACAGTTTGTCAG